GCAAAGTAGTTTTGACTGCACATTAGCTACCTTACATCACTACTGTTTTCAACAAGTGGCCACATTTTCCTTCATTTTTTGACAATAACGACTCACTGTATTCAGCTCCTCTAGAGCAGGTTTTCTGTTCATACTGTATTATGTATGCATTTATGCAAGAGTGGTACAGCTGCATGATATGGAGAAATACTAGGATGGCAATTATATTGCTACATATTGCGCTATGCGAATCAACAACGTAAAAGAGTAAAAATAATTTACTTTTGCTGGATTGCATCAGTGGGTAGCCCTCAAGGCTTTCTAGGCCTTCAGAGAAGGCCTAATGATTTATGTAAAATAATTGGTTGGAAACAGGGGTTAAACTTCTGAAAGGCCCAACAAAAATTGCCCAATCAGGACTGTTTTTCCCCATTGTTTCTAAGTAAATACAGCCAAGCAAGCTCTCCCACTGATTAAGAGCTGAACTGAAGGCATAACATGTCAAATTAACTACCAACATAATTAGAACGAACAGTGGAATCAGCCATCATGTTTTGATTTGCAATGGATGGGACTAACATCATAAAAAAAAACATCCCTTTAAGTCTTCTGATGGGAATCTAATCACTTATTAGACATGAAAAACAGAGGCAGCTCTGTGCCAGGACTCTACTGTAACACTACATACAAGGTAAATTATATGCTAATGGCTGTTAGAAAGTCAGGAAATGTTCAAATGTAATTAGCTTAGCGCTAACATGCTACTAGAAATCCCATAGGGTGTCAGTGCAAATTAGTATTATTGTAGAGGCATTGCTTCCTTGTTTTTTTGACATTTATGGCCCAAACTAATATCTCAGGGAGCCATCATGTCTTTGGTACCTTCTGGCTCTCCCCTTTTACTTAGGCTGTAATAGCTAGGCCACTCTATTAACACTATATATTGTGCCCAGTCACCCCAAAGAGAACTGTCTGTTTCTTTCCCGAGCTGAACAACTACACATTCTTTCTGGTCTGATGCCACCACAAGATCTGCCTTGATCGGGTGCCCCTGCTCAGCTGCCCTCTGGACATGTTTGACCAAAACTGAGCTTCCTGCATGTCCACTCCTGCTCCTGTTGATACGGGTGCCTGCAAGGACTCTAACTAGACCTAAGTAGACATTGTTTGCCTGCCTCACACTATATTGAGTTTTTATGTATTCATATTTATGTGTCGTCATGATGGGTTTCTAACGGCAGTCATTGGTTCTCCAGGATTTAATTCTTTTCACACACAATAGACGCTGTTTTTTTGGTTTTCATAGATTTATTTCTCATTAGTTACTTATATAAGCCTCTAAACATACGTTCATATTAGGTGGTGACAAGTCACTAACGTCACCTCAAGTTTTCACTCTTGTTGTATGTGGGCATATACACTGCCAAGCCTCTGACAAGAAAATGTAAAATATGTACTATATCTGCTGTTTTGTTAAAAACATGAACTGTGATTATAAATTTACATTTTTTTAAGTTTCTCTTCCACATTTTGAGTGATACTATTGGGAAGCAGAATGAAATGCTAGTAGGAATAAAACGTTCAGAGAGCAGAGGCTGGGGACCTCGGCCCCCCGTGTCTATGACTGTTCCAAGGAATTTGTTTGAGCCATCATTTCACCACACCATAGTTAATTTGCATATAGTTGAAAATAATTTCAATTTGACTTGTCACCCTGCCGCTGCTCGCTATCTGCAAATCACCTACTCCCATTGGAAATGACTGGTCATCTGTCGCTTTGTCTGCTAGTGTCAACGTACAGTAACAGCAGTCATCAGTTTTCATTGGTTAATCTAAATCCCTCTGTCCAATGACAGCTTCATGTATTTTTTCCATATTCACTATATTAGATTCATTGTCAAATCTTTATACTTTATTCATATTGCTCTTGTTATATTATTGGATTGCGATCCTTTGTCGACCAGAGGAGGAGGGTTTGAGTCATGGTTCGTCTTAGGATTCCTTCCTTTTGCTCTTAGTGAGTTTTCCTTGCCACAGTTGCTCTTGGCTGTGCTCGCTTGGGGCTCAAACCCAAATTTTCTGTAAAGCTGCTTTGTGCCAACAGCTGTTGTATACAACACTATATAAATAATCTTCAATGGAATTTGAATTGAACTGAATCAAACTGAAGGCCTAGCTCTAACAGTCATGGCTCTCTACTAGATTACATGAATACCTTGGTTTATCAAAACACCCAAAGAAACACTCCTCTGGAACTGAGATTGGTCAAAATGCTCACAGCAAACAGTCCAGACATTGTGATTGGTAAGAGGGCTCATTTGCAAATTACAGCTTTCTGCAATATCAGTATAGCAAAGATTGATACAGAGATAAGGATTAACAAACAATATATTGTGCAGCCCTAATGGATGTCATATGTTTATGTCAAACTGATGTAGCGTCAAAGATACAGCACAACATGTGCATGATTCATGGAATGAAACATGGTAAGCATATTAAAGGCACAAGTCCCACCTGGCATCTACGTTTCTATAGTTGCAGATGTAAAGCTGGGACCGTGATTTTAGCTGTGGCAGGAAATCGCCCCCCCAGCAGGATCACAGCCCCCTGCTGTGAGTCACGCATTAACATAGCAGCTTCCTTTAGTGAGAAAGGCTCATGACGTAGCTGGGTTAATTTGGATAATTAGTGGGACTGCCTGCTGAAAGCCTATATTAAACCTCACACTCAAACATCTGATCCGCTGATTCGAAGGCAAAGTCCGGCGGACATGCTGGCTGGATGTTTCATGTGTAGGTGGGCACATGTATAGTGCAGGCCATAAATAACTGGACAGTGACTCTGCTGTTTTTGCTTTAGCTCTGTATTCCAGCTCACTGCAACTAGTCATAGTCGATATTTCAAATTCATTTCAAATCCGTCATAGCACTGCCAATATATGTCTAGAGAAGAATAAACAATATTTTTTTTTCCATTTACCCCCACCACCCTTTCAGGGGACTATAAGTATTTGGACAACTGGCTGCTCACTTGTTTCTTGGCTGGCTGAGCTTCATTGCATCATCAGCAAAGGCACAAGAGGGCTAACAAGATGATTGGATTTGAGGTGGCATGTGCATCTGGAGGCTGTTGCTGTTGTTTCTCAACATGAAAACCAAAGAATTGTCAATGCCAGTAAAGCAAGCCATCACAATGCTCAAAAATCTGAACAAATCTGATTTCTTCCCCCTCTAAGCCTTTTCAGCCAAAACAAATGTGTCAAAATTAAATTTTTCTACATTCTTAAGGAGGAAGAACAGTCCTACTGTTTTTGGACTGCCATATAGTATAGTGCAAAAGTGAGAGACCACCACTCTTATTTTCCAAGGAATTTCCAAATCTGTTAAAAAAATTGGTTAAAAGTAATAGAGAAATAGGGTCACCCCTAACAACCGTGTAATACCTGGTAGACCACCAACACTGTCCCCATCAGATAAACAGCACTTAAAGCTTTCATCTTTGAGAGAGAGGAGAAAATCAAGCTGCTTCAGATCTGAAAACATCCACAGGTGTTTCTGTCCATCCCTCCACTGTGAGAAGACAACTCAGCGCTATGGGTCTGAAAGGATGTGTAACTGTCAAGAAGAACCTCACTGAGAAAAGGAAATGGACTAAAAGAAGAGCAATCAATCAAAAAAGCTGCTAATGTTCTCAGAACAATGGTCTGACCACAAGAGTCCAGAAAAGCGGAAAACACAACCAACTTCTAAGACTGAACTTTGAAGATTTCTCTGAAAAACTGAAAGCAGTTTTTTCTTAAAAGAATGGAAGCTGTTACAAAGACAAAGAATGGACACACTAAATATTGAATTTGTTTATATTTAGTAATTTATGCTTCTGCGTATTTTTTGTACAATACGAAAACTGAATAACTTGACAGCCATTCTGACGGTAAATCAAATAAATGAAGGCTGGGCAGTTGCTTTAAAGTATGACCATGTTCGGAGGAAATGCCACATATTATCTATTCAATAAGAAACATTATTGTGACACCATTTGTTACAGTTCAGATCTCCTCAGGTGATTGATGTGTTGAATCTTTTGAACAGCTGGTCAGGCCTTTTTCTTAAATGCCAAAGTGTCAGCATCAGTCAACTTCCCTCAAATTAACTAGACTAGAATAAACAACTCCAGTGAGAATTGGCTGTGATATGTCTTGCTGTTGCTCAGCAGGTATGACTGCAGCGGAGGCACACTCGCGAAGGGAATGATGAGAGCAGTCACAGAGGGGTTGAATCAGCCTAGCCCAGCCCAGCAGCCTCCAGCAGACGTGGGCAGCCTGCGAGTTATGGCACCTCAGGGAATAATGTTCATTCAAATAGATGAGGGAGCGGTGGCGGTGAAAACTAGGAGGCAATAGAACAGAGGCTGGCTCCACAGAGCCCCTCGTCGTCGAATCCATCACAAAAAGAACCTTTCCCTTACTCCCTGCACGCCTCGCGCACCATCTATCAAGAATTCAACAAAATCCTCAATAGTTAAGGTGCAGACTTATTAAACCTGGATTATATGAATGTTCACTTGCAGCATGCATTTTAAATTCTCATAGGCGATGCCATAAGTTGTAAGACAAGCCTGCCACCTTGTGGCCAAAAAGATCACTCTGTTTTACCATTTTTATTTTATACTGTGCATACTCCATCTAAATTAATAACCAGCCACATTCATAAAAATCATCTGCTAACAACACCATGTCTCACCAGAACATGTTGTCCATTCCTGACGAGGCGTCAGCCAGAGGAAAGGAAGAGCAACAAACTGTACCGGCTCTTGTTTTAACAGCTTTGAGCCCTGGAGGGAAAAATATGACTTTTCAATAAATCTTCAAATGCAAGAATAAGCAGCCGAGTAGTGAGTCAGCATTAATAGCTGCTTAAAAATGTGCTTATTTCAGGAAGCCTTCCATTGAGAGAATTAAAAGCTCCAAAAGGGTGAAAGGTTTTCTGAGAAGCAGACATGCAATTTCATGCATGGAAAACCACTTGTCGCCATTTCCTTTAATGACAGGGAGAGAATATCCAAAATTTGCAATATTAGTTACTTGACTTAAGGACCAATTTGCTGATAAAACATACTATAATTATTGACTACCAATCATAATTGCAAAAAAATAAAAACAACATGTGAAAGGTCTGGAATATTCTTAGGGTTTGTCAACAGCAGGGAGAGTTAGGGAGCATTAAAGATTTTTTTTTAATCACAGCAATCAAAGTTTTATTGTCCTTATTGAAATGGTGATATTTAAACAAATATCAAAAAAGATGCACCTGGACACATATAATACCAGCTGTTGTCTGATTGAAGCTGATGTCTGATTGAAGCACATTCACAGTTCTTCCAGGTTGACAGCAGAAATACGTGTTTCATTGTCTTCTTTTCTAAAGGCTGATGTCATCCTGACGCCAGTAATGGACCTCACATCAAACAATGCCTTTGGCTTCAGTGGGCAGCGCAGACGGGTCTAAACCAAACTGCTTCATCTGAACAGCGACGTCAAACAAGTAGTCGTAACATTCACACCTGGAGGAAAAAAAAAAAAGCAGAAATGACCTTATGAGTGAGTTATTCTAATGGATTCTGAGATTCTAATGAATGGAACTATCAGAGCGTAATATATTCATCAGCGTGTCCGTGTTGAATACTCTTCTGTGGAGTAGTGCTGTTCTGCCTGATGCTCTGCCTACTTATTCTACACTACGTTATCCAATCCATGATCATGATTCACGGTCCATGATTGTTCCATTGACACTGGAACAATGTGTACCTGATTGAGCGCATTATACAAATGATAAGTCCTTATTTATTATTATTTTTAAGCATGCCTCAGCGTAATTTACCTCCGTGTAACTTTGTGCAGACAAAGTAATTATCCACTTTGCTCAAAAAGTGTCACCACAGGTGCCTCTGATTGCAGTCAACTACTTCCTGTTTGGTGGCTGGAAAACTTTTACCATTCAGTTAGAAACTCTGATGTAGAGTTAATGATGTGCATGTATCTCTCAGTGAACTCAGTTAGATATTTAAACTCAGACTCATTGTATTAGTATTGAGTTAAAACTGGTAAAGGTATCTACACGTTTATTTCATATTTCTGTTATTGGTTAACTTATTCCACTCTCTTGGGACACTGTATTAAACCAAAAAGGTATTAATTCAGGGCTTTTAGGAAACCATTTTCCATAAAAACCCTTGCAAAAAAGATGCATACTTAAGTACAATAATAGTATACTTTAAGTATACATAGAATACTATAATCTTCTGTATTTTCATAACATATATAACCTTTTAGTACATTTTTGCTACATTTTAATTGCAATAAACTTCTAACTAACTAGCAATCAGTTAGGGGCATCAGTACACCTAAGAGTATACATTTAAAATATGTTTAATGTACAGCAGAATTGACAATTCCTTAAGTTAACACCATTGCAACGTAACTTGTTTCAGAACAGAAAAGCACTTTGGGGCACAGAAGATGTATTTCAAGGCCACAAATATAATTTAAGCATATATACATTGTGTTCAGTTATTCCTAATATATTGAAGTGTATACTTTGTTTTTAAAAACTACACTGAAATACAGGTTTTATGTGTTTAAGTATTTGGAGTGCTTTTATTATAATATCATTTAAAATGCATTTTGAAGTGCATTTTAGTTGCAATATAACACAGTAAGTAGGACTGAAGTGTATCAGTACATCCAGTAATATATTTATAATGTATTCCAAATGTAATGACAGTTATGTCTACATATACTTAAACCTACTCAAGTGCACCTTAAATTGTTTGGAAAAGCACTTAAAAGCTTAACTAACTGCAAGTAACATATATTTAGTTATAGCTTAATTACAATTTAAATACACTTAGGTAGTCATAAGTTGTTCCCAATTATACAGTAGTATGTACTAAAGAATGTTTAAAGTGTCAGCTCTGAGTGAGATTTCCAAATTCCATGACTTATGTAAACAACTGCAGTTGCTCACAAAAAGATCACCATAATATGATGTATAACTGCTGATATATTTTGCATTAAATCTTTTATGTATTTTTCTCTGAGGCCCACTTATTATTATCTTTCATTGATTTCACTGAACGTTATCATTCACTTTCTATGTCACTTTCTATTTTCCAACCTTTCTTTATCCCTTAAAATTAAGCTGTTTTTGTTATCGTGCTTTTAAGGATGAGCTCTGTCCTGACTGGCTGCCCTGTATGTCATTTGAAAAGCTGCCTACGCCGAAACACCCTCTGAAACTTAAGCATTAGTGGGCGGGGCTAAACTGGGTATTAGCCTCTAAAAATCTTCAAGAATAAATATGCTGCAATATGCAATGACTGTGGTTTAATGGTCCACCTTTACACTTATTTCCTTCTCACATATTTCTAGGACATATTATCCTTTTTATTTTTTTTTATGTTATTTTCTATGACTTTCTAGGTTTTCCCGGATGTGTGGGAACCCTGCCACGTCTAGATTGGGATGTCCTGTCTTGTGCCATCCTGATCTATTAGAATCAAAAGATTTACATTTTCAGACACAATTCAGAAAAGTAGTATTTGGTTCTGCAAGATTGTGACACATCTGCAACCATGTTTAACCACTGCTGTGATGTTTTGGCTGTTACTAAAAAAGATCATTTCTGGCTTGCTACTCTGTTAGGCATTCCAGTTTGGTCCAGTCCCTTTGGGTACTGCAGTCATCAAAACTGATCTAAGGATCTCTAGAAGATGCTGCAGAATAACTAACTGAGTAATTTTGTAGGCAAGATTTCCAGCTATTTTGTTGGATTTGTGCTTTTACAAGCTGTGAGCTTCCAGAATAACTCGTGTTCAATTGAAAGACAGTAAATTTATACTGAGAATTACTCATCCTAATCAAACCTGTGAGATTACTGCAGTAATCCAACATTATGACCCTAATTATTCCTGTTAAGCGGACAGAACTGGTTAAAGAGGCAATTACTTTCTCCTACTCCGGCTGTGCTCTTTTAATTACCTTGAACCCCAAATATATGATAGCGGCATGGTTTTTTTTCCTCTCTCAAACTTCTTGAATTAATCAAGATGAAAACCACGCAATGTGAAAGACTGTAGTCTTTCCGTGTCTCTGCATAATTTGTTAGTCCTTTTTTACTCTGTTGTACAATGGTCAGGACCCCCACAGGACCACCACAGAGCAGGTATAAATCTGGGTGGTGGATCATTCTCAGCACTATAGTGATACTGATGTAATGGTGGTGTGTTAGTGTGTTGTGCTGATATGAGTGGATCAGACACAGCAGGACTGCTGGACTTTTTACTGTTTTTGCTGAATTTAACAAGACTTAAAACAGAAAACGTGGTCTGTCAAAAGTTATGGCACATTTTAGATTTTGGAACGGTTTACTAACGTTTTGTGCCGTCGCAAACCTTGTCTTGGCAAGTGACTACTGTGTTTTACTGAAAAGGGGCCACGGCTCTTTAGCGCCTGTTATAAGATCAAAAGGGTGGTCGCTGATCTTTCGCCTCATTGCACATGCATTTATAGGAGTTTCTCTCTCAAAGAGCTAAATACTGGGAGAATATTATTAGAATAAATTACCGACTCCCATTTACGAAGACTGATAGTAAATATTGGTGCTAATGTGGTGGGTGCTAAGTGTGTGCATTGTGGTTGCTGAGAGATGGAGAAAACAGAGTTATAACGCACATTTTGTGAACCTTTGCCATGTCATATCATTATTAATTTGATGCAGGGAATAAAAAAGTGAGTAGGAAGCAAGTAGGAAGCTCTCAGGGGATTTTATAATATTAAACAATTTCTAAGTGCACTCATCCCCTTCAAGTCCATCACATTCCACTAAATGAACCAGAAAGTCAAAATAAGTACTTTATTATTTATTATGTTAAAATAGTATATTGTTTTCTCATAATATTGATGTATTATGTTGATTATTTTGTTGATGTATTGTGTTTAAATTTTTTGAAAGAGCAATAACTTGTTCTTTAATTATTAGTCATCATTTTGACCTACGAAATCTAAATCTTAAGAAAATAACTCATTATTTTGACCTGATGAATCGTAACCAGAATCAGAGAATAATAAAAAACATTCTGGCTGCATCCCAAACCACAGGCACTTCTAATGGTGGTGCACCATTTTTATACTCTTATTTAGCATGCGGTTTGGGATGCAGCCCTTTTAACTGGCAGGAACGAACTTCCATACAAAAACATAAGCACCTCTTGCAGTAAATCTGGCCCCTAATGTTTCATTTTTTCAAGTATGCTAAACTTAGAAAATAAACAGCAATTGTGCACTAAAAATGCCATGTAGGTTTGTTCCCTGTACAGGATGTGAACTTCAACACAATCAGCAAAACATGTAATTTGACCAGGGGTGTTCTAACGTGCAGAATAATCGGTCCATTAATTCTATAACTGATAATGACAGATCTTGATTTCTGTATCTCACATGGTCTTGGCTTTTTCCCAGCTCTCTCCCCAGACGTAGACTCCATGTCGTCTGACAAGGACAGCACAGGAATCGGGGTAGTCCTCCATCGCTCTGGCCATGCGCTCTTTCAGGTCCTTTTCTTCTGGCGTGTTCTCAATGATGGGCACCACCAGAGTGTCATCATATCTTAAAAACACACACAACACATGCAGTCACATTAACCTATTAAAATCTCAACTGTATCACATCCTGAGCCTTATTACTCAGTATCAACAAAGATTAAAAGGGATATATTTATAAGTTACAGAAGTGTGTAATAGTCATTTGGCTTTTTAAGGGGTTCCATTTTAAATGTGTGCTTGTTTCACTGCAGCTGTATTTGATGCAGTCTTGAGAGAGACATTTTCAGCATTATGAAGTAAACTCTGTTGTCAGCACCAGCATGACCAGGTAGGGGGCTCCCTTCTGTTTGTGCAGGCAGTAATTTGCAGTAACTGCTAAAGCAGAAGTCACTAATAGGAGGACCGTGGTCCGAATCCAGACCCAGACGCTTTCCTATGCGGACCTGCACCTATAACTGATAAACTATGGAGAATTATTTAATTTTGACGAGGTGGTCCTATTTTAATCAGCGTAACTTTTCTAGCCTTTATGGTAACGCTTTAGACTTACAAACCAATCGCATGCACTGTAAATATCACACATGACGCTACTCAGCCAATCAGATCTGTAGATTATGACGAGCACTGACACTTGAGTGAGTGACGCACACACAGAAGTAGGAAAAGAAAGTGAGTCTGAGTGAAGTTATTTCACGTAGCACTCTAAAAAGAGAAAATTGACAATAAATGTTGTTGAAATATTACTGAATTGTACTTTATTTGAGTCAGTTGTTGACTACATAAGATGTTGATATAACTACTGGGCTACTTCACTATAGAGCATATGGCACTGAGTCATAATGCAAGTTAGACTTTATGATGTTCCGGACCTTTGCTTAAGGAAATTTTGTCTAACTGGACCTTATAGAATTTTAACTAAAGACCCCTGTGCTAGAGTATGCAGCTGCCCATTCCAACACACGACAGTCAAAAGAGTGACCTGCTACTTTTTAAGTATGAGTTTTGAAAATGTGCCATTTGAATGTCCCCCTAATGCTGTCTTTTGTCATGGGTACTCTCTGCTTTATTCAGCAGAAAATTAAACCTGTATCCTAATATTTGACTACAACTATATTCCTTTTTCCTGAAGCGAAACTAAAGATATGTTATTAAAGTAGTTCAGCTTTTAGTCAGTGTCTGTTTGATACTCCATACTACATCTTTAAATTTCTCACTATAACTGGTATTTATTGTTGGTTTACTTTGCATTAGCAAGCATGGCTTACACGGTCATACAAACCCCATTCCAAAAACGTTGGGACAGTATGTGAAATGCCAAATAAAAAAATGAACACAGTCATTAGTAAATTCTGTTTGACCTGTATTAAATTGAAAAACATGTTGGCAACATATTTCAAAAAAGTTGGAAAGGGCCATGTTTTCCATTGTGTTTGATCACCTTTCCTTTTAACAACAATGAATAATCGCTTAGAGACTCAAGACACCAATAGATCCAGTATTGAAAGTGAACTTTTTTGCCATTCTTCATGCAAATCTTCAGCAGCCCAACCATATGAGGCCTGTGCTGTCATGTTTTACACTTCTTAATGTTTTCAACAGGAAACTGGCAGACTAGTCTAGCACAACCACTCTGATTACACAGCCATGCTGTTGTATCACATGTAGACTGTTTCTTGTCATTGTCATGTTGAAACAAGCAGTTCACAAGAAGTTCCTGAAACAGAAATGTTCTAAAAGGCAGCATATAACCCTGGCTTTTGAACTTTTATGCTGGTAACAATGTGGATGGTTCTCTTCTTTTGCCCAGAGAACACGATGTCCATTATTTCCATAAACAAACTGAATGGCTAATCTGCCAGACCACAATACACATGTTCACTGTGCATTAGTCCATTACAGATGAGCTCAAGTCCAGAGAAGTTGGCAGTGTTTCAGGACAGTGCTGATGTATGGCTTCTGCTGTGCAAGCACCCCCTTTGTAAAATGTTTAAAATGTTTAAAAACATTTTTCAAATGTTACTAATCATTTTACTTTTTTGGAACGTTTTGCAGGCATCAATTTCAGAATGAGCTTAAATTTACAAAACTATTAAGTTGATATGATAAAACATTAAATATCTTGTACTGCTTTCATTTGAATAAAGGTCAAAGTGGATTTACAAATCACTGCTTTCCGTTTTTTATTTGCATTTCAAATACTGTCCCAACTGTTTTGGAATTGAGCTTGATCATGCAGCTGCAATCTGTATTGTTATTGTGCAGATAGTAATTTTCAGAACATGACTGAGCATTACTACTGATTTCATAACTGCATAGGTCAGTGTATTTAAGATTACTTAATAACTACATGTATTTTACAGCAAGTATGAGATAATTCGGGCATGCAGTATGTACAATGCTAACTGGTGGGGTACAAGCTTCCATTACTTGTGAGCTACATTAGCTTTGTAGTGCAAAACTAAAGAAACAACATTTACACCAAACACGTCTTGGCTGAACGACACAGCAATGTGCAGGAGTCAGAGACCACCCCTCGTTTTTTAACTCCCAGTCAAAACAGCCATTATGTATGAAATATTTATTTTTCAATTTTAGAAAAAAAAAACTTAAAAACTGAATACATTATAAAATTTTCACCTCTGATTTTATTACAGTTTCCATCCTTCTGACAGACTGCTTTTTTCTGCTTCTCACGATCCAAGTAATCCCAATACCAATGATTTTGTTTGATTTGCAAATTTTGTTGTTTTTTTTTGTTCCCCCTCAGAAAGGGCTTCTTACTGCTACACATCCTTTCTGACCCAAAGGGTTGAGATGTCTTCTCACAGTGGAAGGATGGACAGAAACACCTCCCATCTCTCTAAGATGAAAGCTGTAAGGGGTTGGATTATCTGATGGTGACAGTTTTGATGGATCTTGCTTCCCCTTTTCTCTGTATATTTTTTTTTTTTTTTTAACTCCAGTTTTTAAAAAATGCTTTTTTTTACTTAATACAGCACTTTTACACTTCCTAATGCAAATCTTTTACATAATCTCCTCAGAAATTTATCTTGAAAAATGAACAACTTATGCACATTTTCACCAGAAATTACATAAATGAAGGGTGGTCTTATACTTTTGAACTGCACTGCGCATAAAGGGATAATTATGCAAATGTGCTTTTTTGCCAGACTATCACTTTAACGAGACTTACACCAGTATCACCTATAATGTCAGTGAGCAGATTCTGCCAACCTGAAATTTGAGCCTGAGTTTCCTCTGCGGATCCCCTTGATCATCTCCTGGTGAGTAATACGAAACTCTTTTCCAGGGAACAGCAAAGTGGCCATCACCGCAGCCTTAGAGTGCGTATGAATTACTGCCTGGGCTCCTGCAGGTGGAGGAGGAAAAAGCTTCAATAACATGTTGAGCAAGGCAAATTCTGTACAGAGACTGTATGTGTACTCTCACCTCTCATAGTATAGGCATTCATGAAAAGCGGGGTGCACTGGCTTTTCTTCAGCTTCTTCCATGCAGGTGGACTGCTGATGTCCTTTTCATCCGCGTCACATACAAACATGTCTTCTGGCTGCCAACAAACAGTTATTTGACACTTGTTACTCACAACTGCTATAAAAATATTCCTAAAGCCCTATTTGAGCTGGATTAGTTTTACCAGAGGCAGTCCGGTAACGTTATTTGTACGCGATTTGACTGGCCGATCGGTACAGAATAAAGGATCTGTGTAATTACCCCAAATTACACCAAACAGCTTGGATTGAAACACTGTGCTAACATTTATATAAGCATCATGTGACAGGTGCCACGTTTCTGAACAATAACAACAAGCTGTGCAGCCAAATATTAAATATGGTGCCGAAAAAAAGGCAACACTGGACGAGGGAGAAGACTTTACATCTCATTTCACTGTGAATTGACACCCGTAATCAAGGGCAGTTCCAAATGAAGGAGCATAATCATAGCATATGTGATGAAATATACAGTACATCAGATTGTTTTGGATTTTAGGAGTTTTCTCATAAACTTGAGGATTAAGGAACTGAGTCAAATAAGCTCTATTAAGCCATTAGCCTTGCCTTCAGGCTGCAAAAAAAGAAAAAAAAAGTGAAAGTGCCATTCTTTATTACTTGGTTTTGTTATAACATTACTGTGATGTCGATTTGAACAGGACTGCTATTACTGAGGGAGCTCAGCGAATTACAGAAGGTAATTCAATCTGCAATTATTCCTTAGCAGACTTTTGTACTGGATTAAATCACAGATCTTGTCTGTAATCACTCAAATTACTGCACCTCCCCAGGTAAAACTAATTCAGCCTGAACAGAGCTTATTACTTACATCCAATCTTTCTGCCCTCATGGCTCACATTTGACTGTGATCCATATCTACTGTCAAAGGCCCCGTTCACACTAGGCAACAGCATGCGTCCTGGGTGACCCGATCACAAGTGGACAGCACTAAGCACAGGTGTGAACGAGGTACAATGGGTCATCGAGGCATATTGTAATTCAATCACTCAAACCACTTTTGGAGGTGATCAGGGATGAATATGACCACATGACATTTATAGTGTGAACACTAAAGCATTTTGAAGCATCTTTTACAGCAGCCATCTTAGGACCACCTTAATCAGCTGCATCATCACAGCAGAGACGAAAACAACTGCGTAGTTTCATTTTTTGTCTCTGCCATCTGTTTATAAGTCGCCTTAGCGGCTTGTGGTCTAAACATGTGTAGCAGTTCTTTCATTTGGACTCAAACATGGACTCAAGGCACATTATTGTCAACAAACGGAGCAAGAGACCGATGTAGTAAATGTGGGTGGTACCCTTGTTTCGGTCACGAAATCCGATCTCTGAAGACGCATTTGAGACACATGGAAATGTCAGGTTTGAACAGCTACATGTCCTGCAAGTACCAAGTGTGAACAGGGTCAAAGTGATCAAACCTGTGCCCTGAAAGGACCCACATGTTTACATTATCGGGTTACAGCTACTGATGGCTCAATTTCCACACAGAGGGACAGAGATGACACATGTACAGTGAAGCATGAAAAAATGAAGAAAAAGAAAGTTACTTGCCTGTATTCTTTCCTTCTGAACTCCAGATGGGGCGATGTAGATGTGGTCTCTGTTACAAAAACAGCAGGCAGCAGATCTATGACTACAATTACTAACCTATTTACTTAAAATAGGGTAAAAATACTGATAGCACACATCAGTAATAAGTGAGGTATAATAATAATAATAATAATAATATTAATAATAATAAAATAATGGTAATATAACATTTTACTTATCTAAAAATACATGCTAATTTTAAGGTTTTTACTAAATAATATGTAAGTATAGTGGTGACTAGTTGGTAATGAAATGGTAAAATAATGTATTTTCCAGATTTTCCACATGAAATAATTTCATTAGGAACTATTACAGTAAAAGCGAGTAACACTAAACAATTATTCAGTCATTGCAGCTTATTATTATTGTTTTCATTTACAGGAATAATGTGCCCAGCTCCTGCAACATAAAATGTGTTTAATTAACATCACCCCAAATCTTTTCTTAAAGGGTTTTACAATATTAGGGTCATGACCTCAAAAATAATGAAGGAGTTCTGCTAAAATGATGTGGTAATAATGCTGTAAAATACTAAATGACCAGGCGCAGTATGATAAACAGACACAGTTACAGTGAAACTAAATGGTATTAGAGCAGTAAAATTCAACAAAGGCATGCAATATTTAGGTTAGTATATTAGCTTGTAATTTTTAGGATGGTAAAATTGTTATTATTATTTTTTTAGCTTATGACTGGCTTTGATACCATTACAATTACTAACTTACTATTTTTAGGTAAATACAACATCTTACCATAATATTACCATATTTATTTCCTACTTGTTACTGATCTGTAAAGTAAAATGCTACCAAACATATTAATAAGTTTACCGACCCATGTCTGAGGCTTATGCCACCTCCCGTTCCCGTCACCCAGCCGAGCTGATAGAAGAGTCTGCAGAGCTCAGGGATGAGCACCCTCGGATGCTCTTTATCCTGGAAATCACAGAAACGCAGTTTGATATTCATCCACGAGCCAAAAAATCTGGCAGCATAAACCACCCAATACAGGCACTTTTATTAAAGGGCCCATATTATGGAAAACTGAATTTTCCTATATAAGTATATGTAATATACTTGTTATATGTAAGCGCTAAGTTTGAAAACACACTGTTCACTCAGTCCATACAGTCCATATATGGGAAAAACAGGCTATAAAATCAGCCTGTGTTGTATGTGTAATTTTGGTGGTCATGAAAACCAGCAGATTTACTTGAATCCACCTACTTAGCCTAAAAAAGGATAACTTAGTTAATGTTTCATGTCAGACTTAGCAAAGACCCTGCACATATTTCAACTCTGCTTTTGCGACATGTTGAGATTTCAGTTTTGAAGTACTGAAAACGGACACTATATGGACACTTTTTTAACAGGCAGTTAAGGTTTTTGTATTGTTTACAGCTCTTGAAATTAATTTATAGCTTTATTCACTTTGGCACAAAAACGTGCATTTCCAATTTGTTTCAAAATAAAATGTATACTTATCTGAGCCAGACCAATTTATTATTTTTTTTTATAACAACAATATTATTATTATTATTGATATTATTATTATTATTATTAGTAGTAGTATTACCAGTAGTATTAATAATACTCCAGGACCAGGGCTATTATTAAACCTTGTGATTTAGTTCGGCCCTATCATTTGATCAGGAGAGAAAATCTTAAGCTTTTTTAACCTTTTCCCACGTAATCCTATAATTACAGCTCCCTAGATACATACATATAATCTATTCTTTACCTCAGAATGCAATTTCATGAACCTATAGTATGTATATAGATATGATTAAGTACCCCTTTTAAGCATCCTTTAACAAAAAGAAAAATGAACATAACCTATGCTGCATTGTAACATTACTGCTAACTGGAGGTAATAAAGTGATATTTATCGTCATTGTGACAAATTTCTTCACATTCAGTCACAATGTGCTTTACTGAGGATACTGAGATACTGAGTACTTAAATAGCACTGAACAACTGCATGTTTTATTAAAAAGGGAGCAAAATTAGTACAGTTTAAATGGATTTGGTGCATCCTAGTATGTGTGAAATGTTTTTTTAAAAGTATTTTAAAAATGTATGAAAAAAAATAAAAAATACAAATTCTTAGCACTGCTGGCTCTTTTTTTTGTCTGTTCCAACTTAATAAAAAATTAAAAAACTAACGTCAAATATTGTGATGCGTATCGTGAAAATGCCTTGAAGCAGGTTATCGTGATATTAGATTTGTTGCCATATCGTCCACCCCTTCATCACCTACCGACCAAAATGAGTCGTTGTGACTTTACATTGAACGTTAGATTTAGAAATGTTTCTTCTCTGAACTTTTGTTCACAGAAACGCTAACTATATATGTTTTGGCTTCTACAGGGTATCAGTAAAACCGAAACTAGTGGCTTACAGTGACCAAACCAAACTGTCAGAGGGTCACTGTCCGCGCTGTTAGCTCAGTTATCAGTTAACGTCAGCACGAAGCCGAAGTCAGTGTCTTGTTTACTCGCTTCTTGTCCGAATTTTCCCGTTCCACCTTAAATGGGGCAGCAGTTCCGTTTTGGCTCCTCAGACGTTACAGCACCTACTGCACCACTTAAGGTGGAGCGGAAAATTCCAGCAAGAAGCTGTTAGTTAGCTTAGCTGTCTTACCAGCGCCGCTGTATCGCTGCAGTCCCCGTTAGCCGCACAGTGAACGGACGACATGTTCTGAACGTTTTAAACTGATCGATTGATTTATTTACAGACTAAATCTGTCAATAAACTTATTGATCACCCAGAAACAGAACTTTTAGCTTGTTTAGATTGATTGCGTTTTCCCAACGCTGGAAGAAAGAAAGACCCCTGAGTCCTAATAGCAGATTGCCTGAATAAAAAAACACTAAACAGACGATGTCGTTAAAATGTTGCTGAGAAAATAAACATAAAGTGGTCTTTATTATCGGGTTTTTATTTACACTATAAGGCCAGTCATGTGAAAACTGGATAATACCGCAGAGGAAAATTTGGGTAAGCTGTGTTGTTTTGCATGTCTGCGCCTCTCTATGGACACGGCACACTGCGACAAACAGCCGGGAGATGGCGCTGTGGTGCCTTTGTATCCGCACTGAAAGGACAGATCCACCGACATTTTAAAATGTGTGCATAATGAAATGGTTAAAATGTCAAGAGAATAATTCAGAGTGGTGTGAAATGCTTAGTTCTAGAGAAACAGAGTCTGTTTATGTCTGTAGTGTTTGATGCCTCGAAAAGCTCCCTCAGTTATTACATGAAATGGTTATGAATGCTCAGGCTGATGTCTTAGACATTGCTTTACGGTAGTTTTTTGATAAAGTTTCGCACTAAAATGTATTTAAATCAATTTAATTGAATGCATTCATGGTGGAGGGATACATGAAGGGTGTTTTCAGGCAAAATGGTCCACAAACTAAACTTATTTTTTTCCTACCATCATTGACATTACATATTAAAAAACTCAGAAAACACATGTCGGTTGACTGGTGGTTTTGAGTAGTAAACAAAATGGCTAAATTTGGGTTGTAGAGATAGGGATGCTTGGTTCCTATCACCACCACTGTAAAGAAATCTGATTTGGTAAGTATCTCTACAAATGAACCATTTTACATCAAACCACTCTGACTAGCTTTGTTTACATCTCAACCACTGAATTATGCAGAAATGTAAAAAAATCGTTGGATCCTTTAATCAGCAGGAAAGATAAGACAAGGCTTGCTTGTTCATTGAAAGAAACCAACAAAACAAATAAATAAATACAGGCATTTAATCATTTTGTAACAATAAAGTTCATATATAGATCATTGTCTACTTCATATTTATCAAAGCAAGCATTTATATTCATCACAACTCATTTGTAATGCACAGCATCTGTGTAATTCTAAATGACAGGAGCCAAACCCTGTTTTTGGTGGGCAAATCCCAGACAGAGCCATTTTACACTTACGGCAACACGGTCTGAGAACTTTGATTGGCCTCTTTGACATGATTATATGTTAACATTTATTTCTTACAGATTTGAGAAAATGATGGTGATGTAAGGAGAGCCACAGAGAAACGTGTTGACAGTCAAGGAGTAAAACCGACCACATAAATATAATCTTGTTCTTCTGTTTCTGTTAAGTCAGCAAACCTGGAGAACAATTCTAAGCCTTTGGTCTAAGGGTGTTAGTGAAAGGATAATGTAAACTGAGTGCTGTGTAACTGACTTAATATTCACTCTGCTGATAAAATACCTGTTAAACTAATCTTAAATCAAACACTATTTCTTTAGAATTAAGATTGAGGCGAATTCTGTAGAATTACCGTTGGCTTTTCACCCATGCATGTTTTGCAATTCTACAGAAAGACTCAAATCAGGTCCTGTCCTGCTTCTGGCATTATCTGTTTGGGTCTTACTAGCCGAAAGGCTCGGCTCTTTATCTCTCTATTGCAGGGGAAACCGCAAACAGGAAATGAACGTGTATTGACACAAACTTGAGTGAGGAATTGTTTCACCCTCCTGAGTCACCCAGCCAGGTGGGCCATTTAGCTGACTCACAATGCCTCAAGGCTGCCTCCTGGACAGAGGTTACTTTCCCAAGGATTTCCATTGACATGATTTTCACCCACAACTTTCCGTATCCTGACCTCTTAAATCAAGTCAAACTTACACTCACCGTGTGCCTTATTAGAAACGTACCTTGTACGTCCACTCACTGACCACTTTATGAGCCAGGTATACAGTCTATATGTCTATAAGTCTATAGGTTCATTGTTTTAAAATGTCAGCCTGAGGTTTGCCCAAAATGTCTTTGTACACTTCTGAGTTCATGATTCCTACAATGAACACAAGCTCACCAACACCACTGTAAGAAAAGCAGCCCCAGACTTTGACGTTTCTACCTCTGTGCTTTACAGAACTCAGTCACCACACAAAGGCCCAATCCCATTTCACCCCTCGCCCCTACCACTCAGCCCTTAGCCCTCCGTTTTACGTGTTCATGTCTAGGGTTAGGGTGTCCTGGTTTTTGTTGAGATAGAAGCGTAGGGTGAAGTGTTAGGACTACATGGGCGTCCAAATGGAGGTTTTTCAGAGGTACACTCCAAATAGAGTGTTATGAGAAAACAAGAAAAACCGGCAGGATGTCTGTGCGAGCGACCAAAGAAACCCACAAATGTGAATATTTTCTCAGTTAAAATTATGATAGCCATTGCGTTGTCTTAGTTTAATGTTGTTTCAATGTATTATGGTCCTTTTCTTCATAACAAGCATTAAAAATCACTAGTAGTATGCTGATGTCTCGGTAGCGCCAGAATGTAACTGCTGCTTCAGTGGAGCAGGAAAATTTGAACAAGAAGCTGGCGAATAGCTGACTTCAACTTCATATCACCCAAGAATTAGGGATGGGCAATAATAAATAATTATCACCCCCCCCCTAGTAGCTGTTAATGAAGTAATGTTCTTTTTATTTGAGGGTCCCATTTCATGGGGAAGATTTCAACCACTACCCCTTGTAACTCTAGTTCCAAGGGGCAAGGTGACACTTGAAAACAAGGGGTAGGGGTAAAAATAAGAAATGGGACTGGGCCAAAGAGTCTACTAACAGTCTGAAGTTGTCCTAAATGTCTTTTCTCTGAAGTAAATACCATTTTTGCTAAACATTTTATGAAGTAACTTAAAGAACTACATTAAAGTTTACCAGTCGTTGCCCAGACTCATTGGTATGTCTGAATGAGCACTCGAACACTCGCTCTCAAAATCATTCTTAAAAACATTGGGCCTCATTCACCAATATCTCCCTAAGTTTCTTATTAAATTTGTTCTTGAGAAAGGTCCTAAAAAAGTCTATGTCAGATTCATGACGTGTTTATTTTTAAACCACAGAGAAGAAAACATTGGTGAATGTCAGAATCTTCATAAAAACTGCGTAAGTGGGTTTTAAGAAGATGTTTATTCTTAAGAATGGTTGGTGAATAAGGCCCAATAATAATTATGTTTCATAGTTAATCATAATTTTAAACATGCTTTTTAATGTAGTTCAAAAATAACTGTGTGTTGATAGTCAGGCTAAAGCCCAGCTGCTCACGCACCTTATTTGTTTTTAGAAGCCACGATTGTAGCCCTCTCACTCAAATATAGCTTTTACTATGCTAAGGCTGTAACTTATTAGAATTATCATTTTATTTATTACCAATATGGTTACAGTTTGAGTTTGTTTTAACCCCTTAAATGGCCAAGGCCTGAAGTTTTATTACACACTTCTATAACCTAAGAATAGCTCAGCCAGTTTGCACTGAAGTCCTTTTAGTTACTGAATAATAATCATTAGTATGTAATAAGCCTGAGGTTTAATGGGTTAATTACTTCGTCTGTTTTATTTGGCTATTTTGCTGTTTTTTTATTATGGAAAGCAGCAGTGAGAGCAACACGTAGGCCAAGTTGAGCTCAGTCATAGCTGAGTGGAGTGGAGGAACGAGGAGCTTTTAGAGCTACAGTGAATGTGATCTAGATGCAGCTTGGCTGGTATCCCACTCAGCTGGTGCAGCCTGCCCTCCTGGACATGTTACAAGGCAACAGGAGCACCGAAAAATGTCCACAGCGTAAAGACATGCTGGCTAGAACTCCATCCACAAGCCAGACTCCTGTGCCGTGGAATGACCAGCAGCACCAGTCTTTGCAACTCCATCCACTGCCTGAACTCACCACAACAAAGAGGTTTGAGACTCTAAGCTCCCCAGCTATAGCATCACCCTCACTAGAGACTAGTGTTAGATCACAATACTTAAATATTTTAGATGAAATATATATTTTAATCAGATTTCTTGTGCATCTATAGTACACTAGACTCTTATTACAGATTCTTCTTTTCACTTAGAAAATCAATAAAATGTCATTTCAAACTTTTGCATAAAGCAGTATCATTTATTCAGTTTATTTACTAAATAACTATCTTATTAAGTCATTAACAATAACTTTTTTTAAAGGCTTGAAAAGATGAAGATACAATTACATGTACAAAATATTCAGGCCAGCCCTATGCACAACTGACTCTACCTGTTGACCGGACTATTTGTACAGTGGATCAATCTCAACACTGACCTAGTAATGGGTGGTGCTTGTATGAGTGTATCTGGCACAGCTGAGGTTGCTGGGGTCAGTGCCATTGTTGGTTGAGAGTGGACCACCACCCAAAAATATCCAGCCAAGAGCGACTTGTGGTCAGAAACTGACCATCAATGAAGGGCTAAACTACTTCAACAGATATACCAGCAAGAGGGAGCTACAGAGTAGGGGTTTCCAATAAAGTGGCCAGTGAATGTATCCAAAACACACATATGCTTTAACACGATGCACAGAAATCCAGCGTGGTTTGAAACATGTGAGCACAAATCAGTGCCAAAGGTCTACGTTAGAGTGTAAATCTCACATAATCCTCCAGTAAATATTTGTTTTATGACTATAATTAAGCGTGTTTATAGAAAACTGCTTTTAAGCAATGCGATATTTCTTAAGGTGAGCCCCAGTGACGTCCAAGAAGATGAAGTTGATCCACATGATGCAGGTTAAGTGTCTGGCTCGGTCTGTGAGGTAGACTAATGACCAGTGAGAAAGGAAGAGTGTGACACAATAGGCTGGGTGTGTTTGCACTAGCACCACCCATCACTCACCTCAGAGTGTGTCATCAAGGTGATGACTCAAGTTTATAAAAGAGGTAAGGCATGTTACTCACTCTCTCGAACTCGAAATCACAGCGTTGAACACACGGCGACACGCACTCGCTTCAACTCGTCCTGGACAGAGCGTAGCAGTAACTATGCAGACTTTACTGCCTGTGCTGGTTACATTGGGATTAGTGGTGCTTCAGTTCACTCAGGGTGAAGGTGAGTGATGCTATTGAATGTATTACTGCTCTACTATGACTTGTAGGTAAAGGTGCGTAGTTGTATTGATTCGGTTACATGTACTCAAGTAGAATTTTAATGGATTTGTACTTGTATTTTCCAATGATAGCACTTCCAGTTTCATGAGGAGAGCAATCTATGTTTCCTTCAGTTGTATCCTATTGACATTTCATTGACATGGCCTTATTTCAATCTCTGATATTACTAAAAGCATCTGTACTGCTTTGTGAATGGTCACAGCTCTGATGTTTGAGGTTTATCTTAGTATTTTAGACTGAGAGTGCTAGTTGCTGGATGTACTAAGACGTTCCACTGCAGTTCTATAGGGAACTCAGGATTTTTGCACTTCTACTCAAGTTGTTTTTGGAGAAGTATATTTACTTGTCCTCAACACATCATTTCACTGAAGTAGCAATACTTTTATTTCAGAATTAGTTTAAACTTTTCTTCCCACCTCTGCTTGACATCATCCACAACTCCTACAGGACCTGTATGTTTAATATAGCATTTATTTTGAATATTTCTAATAGTCTTACAGCACTGTTGCCATACGTTTAGCAACTGTATTGTTATATTCAGTAACACTGGTTCTGTAAAGGGGAACTCCACCAATTCTTCAAAATTTCTGCATGACTAGATCAATGTAAAGTATCGTAGAGTGGTTTGATGTGAAATGGTTCATTGTAGAGAGACATACTCACTCGGAATTGCTTTACAGTGGTGGTGACAGGAACCAGGGGTGATGATGCAAGTGTAGCTGCTTTATTCACCATTCAAAATGACCAGTGAACCTACACGTGTCTTCTGAGTTTTGATATGTAAAGTTGATGATGGTAAAATAGCAGTAATTCCATATAAATGAATAAATCAATAAATGAATATCTCTTTTGGGATTATTTTGCCTTACGATGTCTTACACCTCCCAACCATAAATACATAAAAATGACATTTTAGAATATAATCTTATCTCAAAACTATTGAAAGTCACTCAGGGTTCAGGCAGCATCAGTGTGACTGATCTCGAGTGAAAAGTAAAGTCTCTGTTTTAGAGTGATGTACTAACCCCCTCATTCACTTACACAACACATCCAAGATGTTTTTGGAGAAATTTAGAGAAAATGCAGAGATTAAAAAGCCTTAACTGTCATTACACTATACTGTAGAAGCCCCTGCTATTCTGATCAGCCGTAAAACTCTCTCTCGTCTGTTTAAGTCACATGGATTTCGGGTAATCTCTCATCTTATGGCTTGCAATTTTGAGCGCAGCACTTAAATGGATTGAGCCTGGCACAACCCGGCTCATATTTCTGCTCAGCTCTAATGAATCTAGTCTAGTCACTGTGCATCAAACCCCAACTGCTTCCTGGTGAGCACACACAGTAGCCTTTTGTGTGAGTGCTAGATACTCTGGAGAATACAGATAATGCAGGTGTTCATGACACGCAAGAAAGGGAGAGGCTTAAGCAGGTAGAAGGTGCCCTAACGTTACACATCAGTAGGGAAATCTCTCACTCCTTTACGAAGTAGTAAAGGAATAGGAAAATTCCTTAAAGGGCCCATATCATGGAAAAACACAGTTTCCTCACTTTTTGAATACAAATAAAAAAGTTTTAACTTGTACCACTCACTCTCCAGTCCATACAGCCCTGCAAAAAACAACACATTTTGAATTTATTGTTTCTGTGATGTCACAAAAAGCAACACATTTACATATGCATATCCATATACTCAGCCTGTGGCAGTGTAACCTCATTCATTTGCGCTACATTATAAGGAGTGTTTCAGTCTTAAATTTTGTTTTGAATGAGGCACAATAGAGAACAAGCAACCAGAACAGAGGTCATTTACACAAATCAGCCTTAAAGATATAAGAAGAGGTTAGAAAATGGTCATGGTCATCATCAAGGTACAAGCAGTGTAAATGTTCCCTCAAAGGTACAACAATGGTTTTAAGTTTTTCATAACCTAAAGTTTAAAACAGAGCAGTAGATGAGACGGAGTGTGTGGAGCCAGTATAATATAGAAAATATAATTTCAGTGGATTTTGGTACAGTTATGCTCCCTTATTAAAAGTACTGAGATGTACCCTTTAGGGTCCCACCCCAGTGACAAGAGGGGTACTGCCCCAGTGACAGTATGCAGACTGGGTTTAGAAAGCAAACTTGGTACTGGGAAAAATTGTGCTATGTGGAAAAGCATGATATCGACCACATATGCAGTCCAATTTTAATGATTCAAACACAGCTGCTTTACGTTATAATAGATACTTAGTCATAATTTCAAATGACTTCCTCTTCTGAAATGCTGTATTTATTGACACACCCTGACATGTGAACTGACAAACCGCGAAGTGATGCAAGTTCGAACAAGAGTCCTTTTGTGATATTTGCATTCTCCTGAATTGTCTTAGCTTTGGGAAATTATTTCTCTTTTATTTCCCAAGGGGTGTGTGTGTGTGCTGTGGGGGAGCCTAAACACAGCCTTACCAAATAGAAACAGTAAAAGCACAGCAAAAAGACTTAAGATTAAAAATGTACCACGTTCGCTATAGAACTGCAGCGGAACTTTTCAGTACATCCAGCATGTATCAGCATAAAAACTGAAGTTTGTTAGGTGTTTTCATTCACTTTTTAGAGAATTTTGGTGTAAAATTAAATGCTTAAGCTCAAATATGGCAGGATGACCACAATGAAATCAAACACTATAAAATCAAACCCAAAAATGTAATTAGAACCTCAGTGTGAACAGTGAACGGACTAAAAAGTAGATTCCTGTTTTTATGGTTTTATTTTATGGTTGTTTTAGTATTTTATTATATACCTTAACTTCTTTGTATGCATCTGTATAAAAGTGTACAGCAATGCTTTTGCTCTTGTTGCTCTTTACTGTACTTTGTGCTGCTGTAAAAGACAACATTCCCTTTGAGATTAATAAAGTGATCTGTAATGCTTACTTGTAAGCTACATTCATAGAGACTTCATAACACATGCATATGCAGTGAATGATATTTAAAAAAGGAATGCCTCAGTGTTAATGAACAGCTTATGCCAAAAAGGTGAAGATCTAGTGAAATGGGGGGTCCAGGACCCCCTTAATTAACCTCTTTGACCCCCAGAATATTTCAAAATGAAAATTCTGGGGGTCCCTGAAAATAAACTTATTATGAAATTATGTTCATTAGGGAAAAATAGACGTTCAAATACAAATTCAGGGAAAAGACAGTGGGCCTCATTCACCAACCATTCTTAGGAAGAGATTTCTTCTTAAAATCGTCATATGCATTTTTCTCAAGAACACATTTAAGAAAAAAACTTTTGAAGATATTGTTGAATGAGGCTCATTGTTTAGCAGCTTCACCCACATATCGCTGCTGTCAGAACAAAACCTCGTATCTCCATTTTTATCATTTTTCAGTTTTTGACATAATTTGAAAATGCCTGTCCCCCTTACGGGTGATTGTAAATTTCATGATGAATGGACCAAAAGAAATGGCCTAAAATTAGTTGGAAAAAATTCTGGTTCCATTGACTTACATTAAAAATAAAGTATGTTTTTTCCTTCTCCTGTAAAGTTACCATTTTGGATATATGAGGTTTTGTTCCGACAACAGCGATACACAATTTAATATATTCCTACTGGAGTTTATGGACAAAAGTAAAGTTTCTGTTAAGGCGACCTGTGTGGTTGAAAAACTAAAACTGTTTTTTTAAATTGTTCATCGAAATAATAAATAAATGTAATAATTCACAGCACTTTTACTTTTGATGCTAAAGTGCATTAAAAACAAGTAATTTTGTACTTTTGTACAGTCAGGGAGTGTCTGCTTTTACTCAACTGATGTTTTACCAAGAGTATTTCTACTCTGTTTTTGGGGAACATCATGTGGATTTTTGTACATATGTATATGGGAAGATGTATGTATGAAAATGATCACTTAGGTTCAAGAGCATCAGAATTCTCCATGGAACTGTACATGGTGTTCTTAAGGCGGTCTCTGTCTTTTAAGTTCTATTATGTGGGAACAATGCTTCATTACCATGTTATAGACGAATAATGTCACTTAATGTTGATATAATGTTACTGAAACTGAAGCTCCCTTATGTCAATATAATGCCATTTACTTAATGTAGACAGAAATTACTGGCATACACTGTTCAAAATTAATCAAGAATTGCTTTATAAATATGTGATTAATTGCTTTTGCATGTGTTATGAAGTCTTTATGTCACTAGCCTTCAAATAAAGTGTTCCGCAATTGACTTATACAGGTGTTTAAGAGTGAAATATGTTTGGGATCAGCTCAATGTTACAAAACATCTAAGCAGTTGATTAACCATTCAGTTCTTTAACCATTTACCATGTGACCTTCTTCTCCCATAGTTGCAAAACCTGATCCAGATGAGGACGTACTTGGGGAAGCAATAGCTGATGGTTTTATAGTGGATGTCAAAGGTACAACATCGTCGGTCAGAAATAAGCGATTAATTGAGGCAGCCATTACCCCAGACAGCCTAAACCCAGAAGGAAAAACATTTCAGTCCCTGCAGGAGGACAGTGTGACAACAGTAGGCCATAAGGTCAGTACAAGATCTACCAAAGAGGTTCCAAAGAATGAGAATGCTGAGACTTCACCCACTATGACCTTTAACCAAGACACAACAACGCTCCCCACCAATGAGAACAATGGAGACACCACTGCACAGACGGCCTTCCCTGAACTCAGGGTCATTGAGATGAAGCTCCTACCTGAAGAAACCATCAATGAGAATATGAACATAGAAGGTTCAGGCATGCTTTTAGAGACTCTCCCTAGAAAGCTTCACAAGAATCCCCTCCCTTCAACCAGTATCAGCACTCCTGTGGGGGGCTTACCCACCACTACTCATTTGATCTGGCCCACTGAAATGGAGGAAGGGTCTGGGATGGACCGTGATGGTAACACCTCAGATGGGCTCACTTCAACCCCTAAGACAACCACTATACTTGAAAATATTGAAGAGAAAGCTTCAGAGACAGATTTAGATGCTGAAGGTATTTCATCATCCTCTCACCATACTTTGTCACAAATAAGCTCTTGAGAAATTGCTATTTCAACTTTAGATACATATAGAAGTTAAAAATCCACATTATATCTACTGCTTGTGGTAATAGCCTGTCATCACTGTCATAACTAAACCTCCAAACTGGTAACTTTATAGAAGGAAAAAAATGTTCATAACTTGAATGTACCTTAATGTAACAAGATTTGGGCCTTTTTTATTGGTCCATTCATCAAGAAATCATCACACAATGGAAAGTGTAGCTGATGTTTCCAAATGGTGTAAAGAAAAAAACGGCCCCCCCACCGAAAACAATCAGATATAGTTTTAATATGACAGTGATGACGTGCTATATTATGTATTATGAGACTAGAATAATAAAAGAATTTTGATCTGAAATCAAATCTTTGGTCACACATTCTCTCTGCAGCACCTTCCCTACCGAATAGCCGAAACAGTAATAATTTACCTAACGATGCAGGACCCACGACATCTGCCCAGGCAGAAGAGGGCACACCTGGTGAGTTGCAGCACCTCAGACTCCACTGTTCACCATTTATGTCATTCTTTTTAAATACTGTAAAAGCTCATGTTTAACTCTGCTGTGCTGCATTCCTCTTGTCTAGCCTGGCTGATTATCTTTGCATTCTGCATGACTCTCGGCGCCATCCTCTGTGTGTTTGCTGGGATCGCCACCAAAGACATGTAAGTGTTTTAAGCCATACAATCAACAAGACTTAACTCTTATTTCTGAGTTGCTCAAGGTCTATAATTGATTCAACATACACATACATTACTCAGCATTTTGGCTAAATAACAATTTATGGTTGTTGTCTATAACATTTTTATCATATTCTATGTACGTAATGATTCTATAGAATCATAATACAATAACATTAAAAGGTTTTACTGCTCTTGTAAAGTTTTTTCTTTAGAGATGCATGGTTTTGTTCCAACAGTGACTATATACAAACATAAATGTGTCATAGTTAGCTCCAAGATTATTTTCATCTGCAATCATCTGTAGATTAATTTACATATATGCAAATTAATGAAGGAATTCTGAAATTAAGAAAAACGTTTTTTTCAATTTTTATTTTTCTACATGTTTTAAGCACGGTAGCTGTTCTTTACATTGTGTGAAAATCTCATGAGGAACAGACCAATAGAAATGCTCCAAGAGGACTTGGAATAAAATCACTTTACATTAACTTACATTGAAAGTAAAGAACGTTTTTGCCCTCTCCTGTAAAGTTAGCATTTTGGAGAATTTTGTTTTTTGACAGCAACAATATACACATTAGTTTATATACCCAGATCTGTTTATATAAAGTTGTATGCAAATGTTTGAACACCCCAGTCAAATTACACGTTTTATTGGTTTTCTAAGTGAAAATAAATGAACACATCCTCTACAAGGCTTAAAAATTGTTCTAAAAATGTGGCACAAATGTTTTTCTTTTTTCTCCAATACGATCTTAAATTCAGCAAATAAAGAGTAATTGTGCATTAAAATGTAAGAACTTATTTTCACCAGGAATAACTAAACCTTTGCATAATATATATGTGTATATATATAGTGTACAGAGAATAATGCTTTTATTTGGAATTTATTTTACCTGCTTTCTTTTTTGTTTTAAGGTGGTATGGGCCACGTAGGCGGAGCCTGAACATCACACCACAGGACAGCAATGAGGAATACGGCAAATCAGCAACGCTTCCACTGTCAGAAAAGGAGCAGGAGTTGGTGACACTCATGAACACAGGACAGGGACAGAAGAATGATAAAGACTTCACGGTCGTCTCCCTAGAAGAAGCTCCTGAGAAGGAATATCTAATGTAGCACTGATGAGACTGAAACGAAAGTGTTGGGTCTTAACTGACGTAGAAGATCCCTGAAAAAACCAAAGCCAAAGAGATTCAACTGACCTTTGTTTCATCGTATTCTGTGCAGTGTTCAGGCCTCTGACACAGCACAACTGTTAGTGTCAATGCATGTGTCTGACTGTGATCTTTACTCATCACTTTACAGACAGAACACAGTAATGAAATGTTCACGTTTTCATTTGCAACCTTTGTTTTAATCACAAGCTTGAAATTGCACAATTTACTTCTTTTTTGCTTTTTCGGTCAAACCTTTCAAAGAAACACTTTACTGTAGGCTACATGACACCTACACAAGCTTGTCATGACAACTGACATAACCATACATAAATATTTAATCAGGCTTTTTTCAATAAGCGTCATTCAGTATAAAGGTTACACAGATTATACAGATGATGCCTATAGGAATAAGCATTTATAAACATTCATATAGGGTTATGTCAGTTGTCCTGACAAGCTTGTGTAGGTCATGTGGCCTTATGAACAGCACTCTACAGTAAAGTGTTACAGAAAGTTGTAATCTAATTTCAAAACTACGACCTAAGCATTATTTCACTGTTTTATAAAGCTTTTGTAAATATCTATCTGTAAGTACTATGTACTGTGTGATATATGATGCCTTTCAGATGATCAAGGAATGCAGCCCACAATAGAATGATTCAAAGCTAATTTTACTTGACGTAAATAATATGCAAAAGTTTGGGCGCCTCTGGTCAAATATCAGGTTAACTCATTTATGTGCAAAGTTGCCAAAGATATGGCACAATTTATATTTCACGTTTTGTTTTTTTCATATATATTAAATATTTAAAAATATTGCCATATTTAAGTTTGTTCCCTGTTGAGGCTGTTTTGACTTATTTCTGCTTAGAAAATCAACAAAACATGTCATTTGACCAGGGACGCTCAAACTTTTACATAAAACTGTATGTTTGATTTATATGTGCCTGTTTAGTTTTGGGAATTGAAGACATGCTTAAATGGTAAAAGGGACTGTGTTTATTAATATTAATGAGAAAAATAAGACTAAGTTTCTCACATTCCTTACATATTTTCACACATGCACACACACACACACACACACACACATGTGAATGGATGCACAAACATTATTATTCAATAGTTTAAATCACTTTTTTGTATTAAAAAAAGTTTGTTTTTTATGTACAGTAATAACAATACTTATACAATGCAGATATACTCTGAGCGAGACATCAAAGCTATTTTAGATGTTCTGTTTAATATTTCATGTATTTTGGCAACCAAAAGAAGTTATTAAAGATTAAGTAATATACTGTAAATATGAATTTAATTATTTTTTGGAAGTTATCTGCTTTAAGATGTGATTGTCACTTTTGAAATACAAGTATTGTGGATATTATGGATAACTTAATACACTCATTGTAGGATGTAGAGCTCCAAGGCAGCTCACCATTCTTAATTTATATGCATACAATGTCCTATTATACTATACTATATAATATACTGTATATATATATATATGTATATATATATGTATATATATACAGCTCCCAACTAATTATTTGTAGCTATATGAAGTTGTGACTTTGCACAGGACTTACATTTGACTGATCTTACATTGATTACACTGATTGATTCTACACTGATTATACTTCATTGATGCCAAACTTTTGAACTGTGATTCCAACTTTTAAATGGTATTTCAAAAGAATAAAAACTATGGACCAGCTGCTTCATCATGTATAAAGAAGAGAGAAAGTAGAGACATTGTGTTGCCTTTATTTACAATTTCTCATAAGCATCCATAGAAAAAATAGAGGAAAAAGACAAATTCAAAAAGTGAATATTGGTATGCACGTATGTTCATGACTCTGACATAAAACGGGGTAGCACAAAAGGAGACCGTGACGGCCACATTAAAAACAATATACATTCACAAACATCTGAATAAAATTCTCAACACACATAAAACTCAGTTACTGTCAGGCCCTGCCTGAACACTCATAGCCCCAGTAATACAGACCTTTATGCAGTTTCAGAAATCTACATGTTCCTGACCTTGAACTCTCTGTATTTAACAGCAGAGGACAGATTTATGTTTGTAATATAAATAAATTTGACTTTTTCTCCTAATGCCATTAACCCTACCAAAAACATATGACAATTCACAAGAAATAAAACACAGTCATTCACCAGTATGGTTCAAAGAGACAAGTGAAAAATATTATCATATTTATACATAGTGCTTTTTTTTAATCATTTTTCTTCCCAACCAAGTTCACCTGAGTTGTCTGCATTAATATTGTAGACAATATCAATTGTTCTGAAATGAACAAAATAACTGGATGCATATAGAATATAAGTGTGCAGCTACACAAGAAAACCTGCAAATCTCTAACCCGAAATAAAATGACAAAAAAACTCCTGAATACATGGTTTGCCTATGTTTTATAAAACCATAAGCAAAAAGTGGCGCCACTTTACTGATGGGCAGCATTCGTAAGGCTACATAAGCCCTTAATCACAGTTGACATAACCCTACATACACATTCATAAAGGCTTCCAACAAGCGGTATTTGTCATAAAGGCTGCTTTTATCAATTCACCTCAGAAAGTGTTCAGACAACTGATGCCTTTCTGAACATTAATATAGGTTTATGTCAGTTCTCATTAAAAGGTGTTGAGTAGCTTTAAGAACGCTGCTTTCAGTAACGTGGTACCCAAAAAAGCTGACTACCGGGTTACAAAAATAGACAGAGAAAGTCAATAATATCCTCTAGCTCACAGAAACCCTAGATCAATCTAGCGAATGATATATACACAAAGTGCTAGGAGGCACTTTAATATGAAAAGTAAGATTCTGGTGCAAAAGAGAAGTGTCAGCTATTGGAGGGCCGCTCCAGATTCTCTGTGAATAAGTATCTCTTTTTTTTCCATTTCATTTAAATACGTCATCAGCAGCACTTGAAGATGTGAGCGCCTTATGTAACACCATTGTGGCAATATTGCGAAATCCATTCAACTGAATTTCACCACAAACACTGTTCGCTTGAACTTTCTATAGATCAGACTTTCCTACAAATGTTGCCAGAGGCTTGTCTGAATAATCAAGAGGACTTCCTCCAGAATCAATATACTAGTTAGAAGAGAGAGGGTTTGGATTGAGCATTGTCACAATTCTCTGCTTTCTGCACAGTTTGCAGTCGATGTTTTCAAGGCAAGGTTGTTGTTTAGCAAATAAAATAAACAAAACAATGAACAAAGCACACGGAATACACATATGAACTGTAGATTTAGGTGAGCATGCATGCAAACACACTGAATGACCCCTTCCCTCGGTCACTATTATGCCCACTGTAACCATGCACAGACGCAGGTTGATGTTCAAGGATGGATGAATGTTGTTATTTGAGCCCTACTTCATTGCACTGACGTAACCATGCCATTAATATGCCATGGCAGATGTCATATGAGTTGTCATGACATATTGTGTTCAGTAATATAACAGTGTTATGTTATCATTACTGGTAATTGTCATGAGACTCATGTTACTAAAGTACACTTAGCTGTCATAACATTAAACATGGCAGCTATCAAGGCAAATACCAGTAAAGGTAACATAACACTGTTACATTACTGAAAGAAATCCATCATGACAGCATATGACATGTGCAACGACATGTTATTACTGTGGTTATGTCAGTGTTATAAAGCAAACTGTGATCAATGTTTTGTTCTGTTTTGCTCCACTCTTGTTCCAAAGCCTCCAAATAATCACAAAGCTGTCCTCATGGACAACAGCACTTATCTCAATGTCAGCCTTCATGTTTGTTCCGACTATTTAATGGCTTACGTGGCATTTGCGTCGGCCAGCAGCTAAAAATAAGCACTAGCAGTTGGAGGCAAAACTTTACGCCATTTCGGAGCCTCTAAGCATGTTGGGAAGCTCTTATGGTAAGAGGCTGATCTTGAGTGCTGCCACCAAGGGTTAATCCACCTAAGCCAAGCCAGTCAAAGGGAGCTCCTGCAAACAAGCTGCGCTTCCCTTAACCTGCCACCAGAAATGAGGGTTGGTGCGCTGAAGTTTGGTCAAGCTGATCTACAGCTATGGTGGATGCGAAATCTATAGTGACTGTGTTTACTACAAGATGGACTATAGAAGGAACTTTGGGGAACCTCTTGGTGCGTTATTGGAAACTTGGTGAATTATTGGAAAGCAGCAGGTTTCAGAGAGACAAACCGCAACCCAAAGGCCTTAAATGTTTACCACTGAGTGTATCATGAGCAATGTGTGGAGCTATGTTTAGAACCCACTTTACACGGCTGTTATGGTAACCCCTTACAAGAAATAAACAAATAAAAGAACATGCAAGGCCACCTGACCACAGCACACATTCACTGCTACGCTCACCTGTCCATTATAGTCATACAAAGCTCTTTTATCAACCTGGAATTGAAAGGTTGTGTGTGCTTTCGCTCTGAGAGGGCTTTCACCCACAGGTAAGGCTCAAAATGTAGCCCAAGTGTTAAGCCACCGAGAGCATCAAGGGCATACTACATTCTCTGCCATGTGGAGATGACTGCGATTGTCCGTTCTTGTGCATGAAAAAATAGTTCTTTGATGTCTTTGGTAAGTACTGTACGTGTAAAAGTTTGCATTTGTTCGTTTGTTTTCACCAGGACGAATAAGCTTGCGGGACTCGGGATAAGGCGGAGCTGGATCTGTGTGCTGTGTTACTCTTGTATCCAAGGTTCCTCCTCAACAAGAGAGAACTCCGCAGGGGAACCATTTGGGGCCAAGGTTACCTGAAAGCAATTATCAGGGACATCTAACTGTTGGACCAAGGCACAATCAAAATGCATTTACCGCAGCTGGCAACACTACACCGTCTACGACTTGGAGCAGAGAAACCATTTACAGTGGATACGATCTCGACTATCGGCCTTCATGTTCTTATATCTTAATTGCATCATTAAATGGTTTTTACCAGTATATGAAACCCACTGAAGAGCTGACTGATATTTGCAAGTTGTGGGTTTCTAAAGAACATGTAAGCTGTACCGATTTTCTGCTTATGGTATGGAATCTCTGCCCAAAGCAAGTGATCTAAAGATGCTGAGGAAAAGTGCTATGCTCGCTATTGTATGGTGGACTGAACTGAGCATTGGCCTATACTTTTAAGGGACAAGAGTCACTGAAATCTGCTCAACTGCAACGGAAAAGAGATTGAGAAGAAGCATAAAAGAAAAATAGTACAAACATTTTTTTTTTGTGTGTGATTTCTTCACATTTCCAAAAAAGTCTACCTCTTTGCCAAGAATTCCACAAAAGAATGTAGAATGAGATGAAATAGCAGCCTTTGTCATCAGCACTCAACAGAAGATAAGTGCAAAAGTTTTGTATTTGCTGATACACACCTTCTCCTTCTCCTCCCAAATGATATTTACAGTAGCTTTCTTATTTCAGTTGAAAAAGCCAAAGCCAGCTTGGCCTTTCAGTATAAATATAATAGCCTTTTAAAGATATCTGATTCCATCCCATTCAATTGGATAATTGCACAAGATGACACAGTACACTTTTGGTATAAGCAGTGTGTGCATAGCAACATTCTCCGGTGCCTCAGTTGGTACACAGTGAGATTCTACATGAGATTTAAGCAAAATCAGCCAAAGGTCAGGCTCAGTTATGAATATCACAGCATTCAGACATACTCATCAGTACCAAAGAGTAAAAAAATCAACTTAAAAAGGTGTGTGGCGAGTTACATTACAAAGGAAAGTAATATTGATGACATTTAGCTGTTAGATCCCTGCTATCAAGTAAAGTCAACGTAAAATGTAGCTAGTATTACAGCATATCCACACTCAAATCCCAACCATATGCAAAGAGAATCAAGTAAATCTAACTTGCAGTATTTTACCATCATATTCATCTTCACTAGTTCAATGCTTTTGAGCAGTAGCATCACGCTTTGCTGCTTCTCTCTACTGGTGTGCTACTAAAACCAAGCACAAAATACACTTTTGCGATGTTTCACGATGTGAAAGCTTAAAACTCAACCATAAAAACAAAAGGTAATGAAGATGTCTTTACAGACGCCAGTGCATTACCAGGAAAGACAATAACATCTTTACTATGGCTGGCAAAGTGGGACGTTTCTGCTGCACTTTTTCCCCAAATGAGCTTTTTCAAATGAAAAATGTCACAGGAGTGTAGTTTGTATATGATTCTAGTTGCAAACTGCTCTGAAAGTTGCAAAATCTGCCATATGTGCTTGCATGCTGCTACTGTGCAAAAGTGATGCAGCACTACCAGTAAAGCAAAACTCTTCTGCGGCACTTTGCAGGAGTTTTCAGCCTTTGAGAAAGAAAAACATTGCCAGAGTGTATTTTCTATATTACTGAGAAATGAAGAAGCTGTTGGCTGTTCATGCTGAGCACTTCACAACCTTTTTTTACGGGGCTTTCATGGCAAATGTGAACACATACATCCCAGTTCAATGTGTAAGGGCTGCAAGTTTGAAAGACACAAAGCCTGAACATTAACGGTAAAGGTTTGCAGGTAACGTGTCAGGATTTGAGTGTGGATATGCTATACTAGCTACATTTAACACTGACTTTACTAGGTAGAAGTGATCTACCAGGTAAACGTCTTTGATATTCATATATTCAAAATTCAAACATACCTTTGAAGGCCTTCTCTCTTTCACTCATAGATGCTGATGTGGATGTTTGAATGTGTTACATACAGTAACTAATCATGATCTTTGGCAGATCCTGCTAAAATCTCACATAGAAAGTTGTCATGTACCAACCGAGACATCAGTGAGCATTGTTAAGTCAAACCATCTTGTACTACTAGCCCATTACCAAAGAGAATGAAGCCTAAACGTGAATATACACAACGATGAACAAAACCTGTAAAGTATGTACTAGTCTGAGTTTTCAGACAAAACTGCTATTTCACCCAGTACAAGAACAAATAAATAAATAAGACCATATTTATTTATTTTTCCATCTATTTCGTCTAAAAATGTACCTCCAAACCAGACATGGCAGAAATGATCAAAATACAAAAAAGTAAGAAAATCAAAATGATACATGCAGAGTTGGGCAGTAAAAAAATGTCTCTACATACAAGTTTCTATATCTGTGAGAGTGATATGTACCTTGCAGTCATCTATCAGGACTTGTGGACAGGAGTTGCGTGACACATATACGCCATGGTTAGTGTTATTCTCATAGAAGGATTGTGTCTTCGTCATCTCAAAGTCATCTGCCTTCTGCTGGGCGTCAAACATGTCCAGCTCATCTTTGGAGAGGTGGTACACAATGCCTGCCCCGTAGGAGTCTCCAACAACATTGACAGATGTTCGGAAACGATCCCTGTTGGGTTGGGTGGAGAAACAGACACACGTGCCACATCTCTTGAGGCAGTAGCATTTACTTTGTTTACTAATATTTACTCAACATGGCTATATTCTTCAGCTGGATTAGGTTTTTTTACTGTCAGATCTTTGAAGTTATCCTTAACAAATTACCCCATTTTTTGGGGTACCATTTTACAAGACAACTACCCTTTTAATAATGGGAGTTAATTACATTAAAAACATCTTAAAAATAAATGAAGAAATCAATGATAACTAGTTAGAACACGTAAATAAAAAGGGCTACAGTGGTCTGTTATATCATTGAATATGAATGTCTGATCAAGCTGATGGGCGAGTTGATAAGCCCTGTATAGAGAATGCTTAAGATTTACTCACAATAGCCAGTCGACTGCCACCAGTAAACTGATGTCTTGGGTTGGCAGTCCCACAGCAGTCAAGATCAGAAGCATGGTGACCAAGCCAGCACTGGGAATACTGGCTGCTCCTACACTAGCTAGAGTGGCTGTCAGGCTATGGCAGGAAATGCACAATTAATTTCACTTCATTTTGGTACATTTACAATTGGAATTTTACATATTTGTGATGTAATAAAATTATTAAAAATGTTAGACTTTTTTTTTAACCCTTTAAGAACTAATGTAACATGCAATCAAAACACACAACCCCTTAACAAGCCATGTTTTATTACATACTTATTAAACCTAAAATAGCTCCATTAGTTTGCAGTGAAGTCCCTGTAGTTACTGAATAATAAGCCTTTGTATGAAACCTGGAACATGGTTCACAGAGGTGTCCAACACTGGTCCTGGAGAGCTAAATTCCTGCAGAGCCTAGTCCCAAACACAATTTGCCACACCTGCTCCAGCTAATTAACTTCTGCCCAAGTCCCTGATTGGCAGATCAGATGTATTGGAGTTAAATAAGGGGTGGGGCAGCTCATTGGATACAGGTTGGAACTAAACTCTGCAGGAAGGTAGCTGTCCAGGACTAGGGTTGGAGGCCACTGAGATAGCATGCTGCAGTACTTCTTCTGAAACACTTCAGGTGTTTCACTTAAGATTTTCTTGCTTTTCTGCTGAAAAACTACAAATATTTTAGAGTGAAGTGATGACTAGGCTGGAGACACTTATTAGGAATATGAAGTGGACCTACCCAGCAAGATATTGTTACATCATCCATAAGAGCATAAACTAAAAACGCCCACCTACTGAGCTAGGAACATGGGTACAGTCGTATGCAAACGTTTGAATACTCCTGGTCAAATTACAAATTTTGTTCATTTTCTAACTAATTAACTTTTTATTTATTTTAAATCTGCCATAATCTTTGTACATGTCACATTTTATGTTTTTTTTTCAAATATGTTAAGTCCAGCAAATACACAATTAAAATATGCAGAAGTGTTTTCTCTGTAGAGGATGTGTTAATGTATTTTCACTTAGAAAATCAACAAGATGTAATTTGATCAGAAGTGCCCAAGCTTATCCATAAGACTGCATGCAAAGAAGAAATTTAAAATAACAGTTTATTCATTCAAAATGTCTCTGTAGGTTTTTGTTGCAGTAAAAATGTGAAATTAATATTAATATTTTAATATGTAACATGTAACAAGAGGCCACTTCTAGGCTTAGTCCTTAAAGGGTTAAAAATCAATGTCATAAACTGATTACAGAGTAACCTGAAAAGTAATCTCTGAAAGCCAGAGTAGTTTGTCTGTAGGAATACCAGAAATATTTCAACCCAAAATTTGTGTCCAAGTATGCATATCAAATTAATCTAGAATTTGAATTCATGATTTGATTGTGTTGTTAAGGGGTACGTCGTAAATGTAAAATCAATTTGAAATTTTTGTAGTAATTAATTAATTAATTTATTTTCATTTTAGTAGACATTGACCTACCTGACTGTGACAATCTGACCAGGGTCAAGCTGTACTCCATTCATCTGTGCAATGAAGATGGCTGCCACTGCCTCATAAAGGGCCGTACCGTCCATGTTGATGGTAGCACCAACGGGAAGGACAAAGCGGGTTACTCTCTTATCAATGCCTAGATTTTCCTCCAGGCAACGAAAGGTAACAGGCAACGTGCCAGCACTAAGACAGAGACATGCAAAGATGTTAGATTGAAGACCCTCGGTCTTTAAATCCATATATATGAGCTTTATTTTATGTCATCCTATCAATAAAGGACAAAAAGGAAAATTGTCTACCTGGAGGCTGTTCCTAAGGCAGTGACCCAGGCCTGAAATACTCCCATAAAAAATTTGAAAGGGTTTTTCCGGACGATGATGAAATATATCAATGGGAGGAAAATGCCACCATGGATGATAAGGCCCACAATGACAGTGACCATGTACATCCCCAGTTGCCGGGCCACCCCCTCCAGATCATTAATGGAAATAATCTTTCCACAGATCAGGCATGCAATGCCCACAGGGGAATACCTATGACAGGGAAGATGCATTAAGACTCTCTGGTATATTTACACCACACAATTTTTCCTTTAAGGCAATAAAAAACAAGAAAACAATGCTACACAGTATATAGTACTAAGAACAGTTAATAAAAAAGAAGTGTTCCCAAGAAAACTCTGCAGTGAGATACTGCGATCTATTGGTGAGCCAGCCAGGAGCAAGAACACCCCACTGTGGACCAGGAAGGTCAAAGGGTCAGTACAGTTTGACAAATTTTACATTATCTTTCTTAGATTGGATAGTGACTTCACTTTGGTCAACAGGGAGTGACCTTGTAGCCTCTACCTTGATCTGAGTTTTTTCTACATGAAAAAACCTGATGCAGAAAAACTGATTTAGCTGATGTAAGGGGCCCATATTCTAAATCTTTCCCATGTTTCTCCCCCTGATGCCCACTTCTGATATTTATGGGAATTTCTTTACATAAAACAGTCAAGATTCATTTTTTCAACCTCTCTTTTTCCTTTAAACAGGCTATTTTATTGTTGAGCTCTTAAGAGTGATACATGTAAATGACTTCTGTTGATTCTGATTGGCTGCCCTGTATTGTGACTTATTCAAAAAGCAGTTCAGTTGAAACACTCCTTATAGCTCCATCATGAACAGGCAGAGCTGATCTGCTGTAAGCAGAATAAGTGGGTATTTATGAATGCACTAAAAAAAACCCAATGAATTCAATTGTCCACATTTACATATATGGTCTGTATGGACTAGAGAATGAGAGGTATATTTTGAAAATATTACACAGTTTACATGCAACATCAAATACTTTTATGTCAAGAAAAGTAACAAAATTTTGGTTTTCCATGATATGGGTCCTTTACAATTCAAAAGCAAGTTTCTGTTTTGTAATGTAATGTAGAGAAGTTTGATAATTTATAAAGGTTCTCAATTTTTATTGGGATTGTTGGACTATTAAGTCAATGACAGGCAATTTAGTTAGAACTGGCGTAGGTCACCTAAGCTGTTTAAGAAAAAGTATACAGTTACAGAGTGTTTAGAGTTCACAGATGACATATTTCACCTCGAAGCGTTAAGAGAACAGTCACAGATTGTTCACTTGTGGTGGAGGTTGACGAACATAGGACAGTCTAGCAGTGTGCAGTGAAATGTACAGTGATATTTTGCTGTGAAAGGCAAAGTTTAGTGGAATATGTTGTATCAATCTTAGCTGAACAACTATTGGCATTGGTGAAGTATAGCTCGCAACACACAGGATGCTCACTTTAAGGCCATATATTATGTAAGGTCATTTCTGCTGATTCAATGGACATAATGTGGCCTGACATGGTGTTAATTAGTTCAAATGATTAATAATCATTAATTTTTAATAGTCCAATTACCTTTCTGGTAATAAAACTGTTATGCTTGAAACAAGTTCTTTCACAGTTAGCAGTAAGATATACAAAAAGCTCAGCATGCGTATCATCTATTTTGTTGCAAATTGTTTTGCATTTTTAATTAATCCTAATCTTAGTAGGGTACACAGAATAAAATTGCCTGTTGGTAATGGGATTTTGTGGAGTGAAACAAGAACAGCATCTCCACAATGAAATTTACAGAAAAGCAATTATGAAATCAGAATGATCATACTTATTTGCATTGTTAAAGCTACACAGTGGAAGTTTTGGGGATTTGGAAATGTGTAACTGCATGCCACATACAGAAGAACATTTATAACGTGGGTTGTGCTTTGGATCCCTTCCCCAAGCAGATGAACCTGAGGATTGCGTGCATGTTGAAAGAGTATTCAAAGAGAACTTGACAGACATGTCATCTGAGGATGTAAGGAAATTATATGCTACTGTCAGCATATCTTCATCAGCATAATGTTGATTTTGCATTAGAGACCTAAATACTGACCTGGACCTTCTTTTTGAAACTGTGTGTGTGATGTTAATAGGTCAATTTTAACAAAAAAAGTGCGCAAATACTGACCACATGATCATGCCGACCAGCCTCATTACAATTTCGTTGAGGACATTGAAGAAGTCCAGCATCAGCCTGGCCCTCTCGCCCATTTTTCCCATGCAGATTCCAAATGCCACAAAGAAGCCAATAAGACCTTGAAAAAAGAATAAAAGGTTTTCATATAAATCATATACGAGAATGTGAAGTACTAGTGATTGTGTCCAGATCTAAAATATAGATCTATGATTTTACTCATCATTAAAATCCTTCACATCAGAAAAAATGATCTTGGTTAGAGGTGATGATAGTTGAAGGTCCCCTTTGACCAAAAATTACTTTTCAAAATTTCACCGAGATAAGATTTAGAGATAATATGTATAGTATAACAGTATATGATAGAACACAATAAACTCTTTGTAGGAATAAAAAATGGGAATAAAATGCATTGTAAAATGCATTACAGTACACAGTAAACAAAATTGTATAGGCACCTAAAACGTTCATGCCACTCTTGAACTGAAGAGATTTCTTGATGACGTATTTAGCTGCACCCTTGGTGGCATTTCGTCCAAATCGATTTGGATGAGGAGGCGGAGCTACTTCTACTTTATTTGAAACAGTCTGGATCTGTAGAGAGAGAGGAAAATAATAATAATAATAATAATAACTATAAAGGCAAACTTTAAGTTGATTTGACAAAGCCAGCTAATAATGCTTCAAAAGGTAAAGCAGTTGCAGAACACTAGTCTTTACTATCCCAGGCAGTTACTAATGAGTTGCCAGGCCATTGCTATGCTATCCTAGGTGGTTGCTAAGGTGTTACTAAGCTGTTGCTTTGCTATTCCAGGTAGTTGCTAAGGTTTTGCTAGACCACTGCTATGGTATCCCAGGTGTTTGCTAAGGTGTTGCTAGACCACTGGAATGTTATTTAAGGGGTTAGTAGGCTGTTGCTATGGTAAGAAGAAGATGAAGAACAGTAAACTGGCTTTCAGGCCAGCTTATTAATTGTTAAATAAAATTGTATGTAATAAAATCTGTATGAGAACAAATGTTTGAGGTAGAAATTATCTAAGATTCCATGACCTACTACAACTTACTTTTAGGTTATTAAACGTGCTGAAACTTGGCTGGTGCTAACCTCCCAAAACTATAACTGGTTAAACGAGACGTACCTGCTGGAAGCAAGCCTGCACCAAATTCTCTGGGAAGAGGTTTCTGATGAGATCAAAGAAGGCATCTAAACTGGACACTTCATCATTCTTCTTCCCTTCTCCAAGGTTAGCTTTCAGCTTGGGGTTGCCAGGGTGGATCGCCAGCACCAGAATCACACCCAGGACAGCAGCGATGATGGTTGTAGTCATGTAGTACACCATGGCTCTTGTGCCAAGACGACCGCTAGATTTGGCGTCTAACCCAGCCAGCCCTGTAATGAAAAGGGTGATTGTTTGAACAGTACTGTAAACTAAACTCACTAAATATGTTAACTAAATATGAGAAAAGCATGAAAGCCTTTGCTTCACTTACTACTACTGACTATTCCTAAGCTGAGGATAAGGCCTGGTAATGCTACACAGTGACCCCGCCAACAGGAACAGCTGTGTGTGTGTCAGTCACTTAAGAATCACTAATGTTTACATTTTTTCTATTCTGTTAAGTACCTGTGATTAAACTGGAGATGATTAGAGGCAAAATCAGCATCTTCAGCATTCTCATGAGAATATCACCAGGAAAGGCAATGATCATGATGACGTCAGGAGGGAGTGGAGATGCATATCGCAGAAGAACACCAGCTACTGAACCTAAGATCACACCTAGACAAAACAAAACACCAGACAACATCAGACTCCTGTATAACCTCACCTCAAAAAACCCTACAATGTTGTAAAAAGCATAAAAACACATTCATGTTTTTAACTTCTAGTCAAAATAGCCATTTAATAAAAAATTATTCATTTTCAGGATAAAGCAGAAAACATATCCTCACTGTCCAAAGAAAACCATGTATCTCCAAAATAGTAACTTTTCAGGAGAGACCAAAAAAGTTTTTACTTCATGTAAAGAGATTTTATTCCAAGCAGTTTTGGAGCATGTCTATTGGTCCATTCATCACGAAATTTTCACACAATGTTAAGGACAGCTACCACACGCAAATGACAGAGAATTGTGAAAATGTAAAAAATGGAGAGTTTTTTCTGTGAGCAGTGATAATATATTAACAGAAAATTATACAAAAGCCACAACCACGACACAATATCTAATTTTTAGTATTTATTGTGTCCAATCTTTGCTTTTGTTACAGTTTCCATTCCTTTCAGGGGACTTGCTTTCAGTTTTTCAGTGAAACCCCTAAAGTTCAGTGTCAGAAGTTGGTTGCATTTTCTGCTTCTCACCATTGCGAGTGATGTTGAGGTCTGGACTCTGGGGCGGTCAGCCCACTGTTCTTCTTTGATTTGCAAAACTTTCTTTTTTCTTTTCTTTTTAGATTTTTAATTATCCCAATTTAATTTCTAAATTTTAATTTAATGATTTTCTCTTTCAAATCTATTGTTTCAATTGAGTTTTTAATTTCTATTCTCTTTTATTTTACTTTTTAAATGACATTTGTAAGGTACTTTGAATAAAAAGTTCTATATAAATAAACTTGCCTTGCCTTTCTTCTCATCTCCTTTTTTCAGTAGCAGCTTTAATGGCTGAACAATTTTTTGAACTGGTTTTAGTCTTGTTTTTACACTTACGTTCATTTATTTTCCTCTTCCTTATACAAGTTGATAGTCTTATATCTAATCAACTCAGACATATCACCTGAAAAAAAGAACAATGTACTTAAGTTTTGATTCACTTAATTGAATGATGGGTGGTCTCTGGTTTTGGCAATTTGCATATCTGTCATCAGTGACTGTGTTAAGCTCTCAGTATCTTAGATACTTTTGTTAATTACTGAATATCATGTTATCCTACCAGTTGTTGAAAGATATTGAGCTTGACTAAGCACTGTCACTGCTTTATTTTTAGACATCTAAACTGCTTCTGTGATTGGGTGCCTTGTATACTACTCTAAAAGTGCAGGGTAATTTGCCAATGGTTTGTTTTATATACATGATCCAATTAGAGTTGCAGTTTATAGCTTTAATGTTTACCATTCAGTGCCATATATAGGTCCATGAGTAGCACACAGTAGTCTATTCCAATGTACTGGGCACACTTACTGAGAAGTCGTAACTTTATACATTCGAGAGTCACATGACACACATCCATGATCACACACAAGATTAAAGATTTGCTAGGGTTGGTCCAGGATTTGGTTGTTTAAGAGTCCAGGGGCTGGACTAAAGGCCTTACACTTAATTTGGAAATGATAGAAGTATCAACAATCCAATGAATTTTCAATGCTTGGGAGCAATATTGTGAGAAAAAAAGCATCACTCTAGACCTTCTGAAAGTTATGCCACTGACTGTAAATACTAACCAGGTTTCAGTCAGTTGCTAGAAATGAAAAAAAGCTGCAGCTCTAAATCAGGACTCTTTACTGAAAGAATCATTGTAAGGTAAAATATATGTTCATTTTTGTTACACAAAATAAATATATACTGATGCAATGTTTTTTACAGTCTTCAAATGTCTGCATTTAATCTGGAACAGCCAAAAAATGTCCATGTGCAACAGCGGAAACTTAGTGCTAACATACTATCCCAAATCCCATAGGGGCACTACCAGAAATACAAGCGTAATTGTAAAGTTTATTTTTTCCCAATTCTTTGACTGAGCTTTGCATCTATGGCCTGAACTGAAGACCTAGCACCACTGCATTTTAAGCTTGTTATATGTTGCTTTAAAGGTGGTGTTGAGTAAAAAAATCTCCCTAAAACTCCTTGTTTTATGACAGTCAGTCAGTAATGCTCACATACAATTGACATACTAATGATATTACCCTCTGGTGTTCTCCTAATGCTATTCTATGTAGCGTAGTCTATGTATGATGAAAAACATGGGTTGTTTTCAAAATGTTCATGATTTGAAGAGATGGGAGACATCCTAGAGGAATGTTACCCAAAAATCAAACTTAAAGAACTTTTTTGTTCTTTGTGCATGTGAAGCTATGCCATACCTTTGGGACACAAACCTTCAGGAAGTCTTTTGAAATTCAATAAAAAGCCTTTGAAAAGCAGAAGAATTCTTCTCCAGTGTCTATGTCTATCATCTCCTTCCCTGAACTATAATCAAATATTCAAAGCAGATAGTTGATCCACATTCACTGTAATATTTAACATAGTCCTGCTGTACACGCAAGACTGGCAATGAATGTGCATGTGGTTACATGATGCGCTTCTATTGCCCAGTATAGCTCTGCCAGATCACGTACTCACATTCAGAATGTACATTTCTGAAAAGCTCTCCTTTATAGTAGGATGAGAAGGAATACCATATTCTGACCCAATCAATGCTGAGGTGAGCCAAGGCCACTTTTTGGCCAGAGAATGCACAAATGCTTGCTAGTGCTTAGTCTGACTCATATCTCGCACATATTTGCCTTAGTAGCATCTTTTCTCCACTGATGAGCATGAAACGAGCACGTTTAAAAACAAAGGCTGAAAACAAAGGCCTGTGAACCAAAGTAATAGCATTCCTGGGATGTATTTTTCCGTAACTCCCATTAACCTAAGCCATCAGTCAAGTGATTAGCAACTGTCATCTGGGCACAAGGCACAACATAAACACATTAACCCAATTCCTGTAGCCTGTAATTTAATAAGTCCTGATTGATCGTCACCTAGCTTGACCCAGCAGAGAAGCTAGGTACACAGTTTCCATACAAACAGAAGGAATGTTTCCTCATTTCCTATTAGAACATCTGTAGGCCAATGCTATAAAGTCACCCTTTTGCATTTCTGCATGCACATGTACACTTTTCATAGGTAAACATTGACAATGTTTCATTAATCTATTAAAATATAAATTTGCATGGCACTTAGACAGTAGAAGAAAACTTCTACCAAAAGCTATTGCAGTTCCTGGACAGAATACACTGAAGCTCTTTGAAACCATTTATAGATGCTGCTAGATTGATAAGCAGTATGCATGCATGCTTCACCAGCATGACATATGATACTGTAGACCTGCACTGCAATAAACCACAAGTTAGTGCATTACAGTGGTGTCACATTCTTTTGCATGCCTAATAATCAAGCAGAAACTTCCTCTAGCCTAAACAATTATTAACTATTTCAGTGACAGTATATTTTTGCTTCCACGTCATTCACATAAACATGGACGTATTAAGAGCAGTTATTCAGTTATTCATTTATCAGGGCATATTTCTGAGGACGTAAAATATAAGATAATCCACTTGTCTAAAAATGTGACTCCTCACAACCATGCAAGAATGCTCAATGCTTGCTCTAGATCCAAAAAAATCCACAGGTGTTTCTGCTCATCCTCAACTCAGCGTTATGGGTCTGAAAGGATGTGTAGCTGTCAATAAGACCTTACTGAGAAAAGGAAATAGACAAAAAACATGCGCTTGCAGTTCACCCAAAGAAGGTATTGATGTTCTCAGAACATTGAATGTAAATGTGTTTGGGTTGTATTTTATGAGATGCATAAAATCCAACCAACTTTTTAAACTGAACGTGGAGGTGTGGACAAAGATCCCTGCAGATTTCTTTCAAAAACTGAAATCAGGTGTCCTGAAATGATTATAAGCTGTAATAAAGGTAAAAGGTAAACTAGAAAATAAATGACTTGTACTTAAAGGCCTTTTGACTGGAAATTGAATAAATAAAAGTGTGCCTCCGATTTTTGCTCAGCACTGTATATGGACCCAAATGAAGAGAACTAACCAAGAATTGTGAGTGTCAGAAGCAAGTTCTTCATGATTTTGTCGCAGAGGCCTCCACATGCTGGCTCGGGTGGAGGAACTGGAGGTTCAAGGTCACTCTCGTGCATTCGGACCTCCACTTGTTTCTGCATATTGTTGGCACTGGAGGAGAAAATAATAAATAACATTAAATTGGTAGAACAATTTTGTTCTAGGTTTTGCAAGCATGGCCTGTTCTATGGTTTTGTACTGAGCCTTTTAGAATAACTGCATTCAGTCAATGTGGGACGAAAATGAGGCCTGTTTCAAATGTGCATGGTTCCAGTATGACTTCAGCATACATATCACTGATGCTGAACTCTTGACCCAGAGCAGGTCAGTCTGCACAGCAATATTCATAGACTTCAGCAACTTTTTTGAAAATATGTTTAATCTCTGCTCCTACAAATGCTCTCAATTTGAGTAATGCATTCAATCCAGGGTTTTTTGCCTGATGACCTGATGTCATCCTGACATCTTGTGTTATCATCTATGGTTATCATGAGATGATCACAAACTTGAACTCAAGGTTGATGATTGTGTATTTGATCCCACATCAAGTATTTAAAGGGGAATGCAACTGATTTTTTACATTTCTGCATATTTAAATCATTCAAATGTAGCAAAGTCATTCAGAGTGGTTTGATGTGAAACACACCATTCTAGAGAAAATTACAGTGTAAGAATTGTTCACAGTGGTGGCCATAGGAACCAGATGTCCAAAGAGTTTAATAACCGCTAAAGCTATCCCACAGAAAGCTATTTCTTTAAATAGTTAAGAATACACTGCCTGATGTATGATACACTGTTTTACAATAGTATTAAAATGTTAAAACATAATTTAAAAAAATCTGTTCATGATGGAGAAGCACATGGAGGGTGTTGTAAGGCAAAATAGTCCCCAGGGAAAACATATTTCCTTAGATTTACCACTATTTTACCATTATGAACATTACATATAAAAGTTCAAAAGACACATGTAGGTTCACTGGTCATTTTGGATAGTAAATAAAATGGCCATATTTGCACTGTAGACAGTATGACCCCTGGTTCCCATCACCACCACTGGAAAGAGTCAGTAAATTTCTCTATAATGAACAAATTCACATCCAACCACTCTAAATGAGTTTTTTTTGCATCTCAGTGATTGAATTATGGCAAAATTAAGAAAAATCATGGAATTTTACTTGGAGTGGACTCACTTTTGAAAATATTTTTTTGTTTCTAATAGTCAGACAATATTGTTGCATGTTTTTATATGCTAATGAGATGACCTGAGGAACATCCTCTGTGATCCCTTGCCCTCTGGGCAAGGGACAGGTCAAGGCATGCTAACTCCTCAGTGCCCCTAACTTTCAGGTCATGTCTCTGCAAACTGTCCACTGATCGTTAATGGCAGTCATGTCACATGACACAACAGCACACCAGTCATTTGGCTTTGTTGTGGTCTGGCTTTAAAGCTCTTAAACTTAGAAGTCACTCCTCCTCCCTTAATAGAGTATAACCTTGCTTGGTTACGTAACTCCAGTAATTAAGCACGGATGGCAAAGCAAAGCAGGACAATTTGTAGTGCCCAGGTACATCAAAATTTGGCTATCAAGTTTATGTGCAAAGAGTACAGCACATCCACCAAGTTGATTTAGGGTAAATGGTGATTTAATGCAAAAATGACCAGAGTTTTGTGATTAGTTTCAGAATTGTTCCTGCAAAGGAGCCAATATGGAACAAACCTCATCTTCAGATAGTTATGTTCTCAAGTACAAGTACCAAAACCATTGTGAAAGACAACGCTCATTTGATTCTGCATAATTAACTGAAGTACGTAATTGATTATTATTCATGTTCCAGTTTTGTCTGAATATGTTGTGAGGTAGAAGTAGTTGGCACTTAGGATTTGCGAAGGCTGAGTGGTGGCAAGGAAGCTGTCTGATACTCACTGCCCCAGCCCTAATGAGATATAAGCCTGTTAAAAGGTTAATTTTAGCCATTCAAGCACAACAGTAATTGTGTTACACAACAGTATGGACTGCCCAAGAAAGTCAAGGTGTCATCTTATACTAAGCATGAGCTACTGAATGGCAGGTTCATTGATGTTAATATGCAAATGACTGTACAAAGACCTGGTAAAAGTGCATTTCAAATGCTTCCAGGATTTCCAAAGTTGTGCCACATAGATGTACTATGTAGCATAAGACCAAATTTGTCCATTATAAAGTTTGCAAGTAGGGAAATGTTCTAATAAAGCTAATTTAAATGTTAACCTATTGCTGGATGCATCTGTTGTCAAAGTCCTCTGCATGAGTTAGGATGCAAAGCTCATGCTTGAGCTTGTCTGCAGGCTATTTTTAGCCAGGGACAACCTGTCTCCACATGAAAAGGTCAAAAAAAGTGACTTTCTGGACATTTGTCAATGAATAATCACTGCCTATCCTAAACAATTAAATCTAGCCCAATCATTGCAAACAACTCACAGTAGATTTGTTCACAACTCTGCATTTTGCAAATTCATTTTTTTTTTTTAAATGCCAGGGTCATTTGCATTTTACAGCCCTTGCAATGATGCACAGCCCCGTCCAGATATCCAGCAGCTACCTAGCTTTGAATAAAAACCTTTTCATCTCACAAAAGTTTTGCAAATGCAAAATGCATGGTTCCATTTTGCACATTACCTGCTGTAGTGCAGTTGTTTTCAGGGTGAAGAGTCTCTGCAGTAGACAACTATGCAGCCATAGGCTGTAACAACGACTATAGAAGAAAGGATGACAAGATCACAGTTTATCCATCGGGGGATCCAAGCCAGATCATCAGAAACCCAAATGTGATATCCAAACAACCGGTGAATTGAGGCCTGCAACCGGCAAGACAGAACCTTCACGGATCAATATTCAAAGATTCACATTCACGGATCGAAGGTTCAAATCACTATCCAGTGCCAGTCAAGCAGTCTGATTCAACCATAGGTGCAGGTAAAATGGCCAGGCAGCTTCTGCTTAGAGTTCCCCCAAGGGGAAGCGGGAGGGGAAGGGAGGAGTCAAGCACCCAGATTAAGAGTAAGTAGCAAGTAAAATCCTCCAGACTGCTCTCCCTGTCTCTGTCCATCTCTGCATCTTCCCCTCTCTGTTCTGTCTTTCTTGTTGTTTGCTTGGTCTGATCTCTTAAACTTTTGAACAGAATTAAAGGACTGATGTGTGATGCAGTTCACAAGAGGTGCAGACGTTGTGAATAATAGCAGATTTGCTCAAGTTTGGGCAATCAACAGTACTATGCAGAAAGTCAAAGACCACCTTTCATTTATTTCATTTCCAGAAAAAGGGGCATTAAAGGATCAAGTCATTCATTTTCAGGAGTTTCCAAAACTGGAGTTTAAAAAAACTAATAAAATATATAGAGATGGGGACTTCTTACAAGCAAGACCTGGGGGACCACCATAACTGTCAGCATCAGATAAACAGTACTTAAATCTTTCACCTTTATAAAAGGATCCACAAGTGTTTGTGCCCATCCTTACACTGTGAGGAGACAGCTCAGCGCTATGGATCTGAAAGGATGTGCTATCAAGAAGTTGTCACTGAGAAAAGGAAATAAAAGAATAAAAAACAGAAGGAAATTTGCAAATTATAAGAAGCTCCTGGTGTTCTTAGAGCAATGGACTGTCCACCACAGGGTCCAGACTTCAACATCATTGAATGTATTTAGGATCGCTTGGCTTATGAGAAGCAGAAAGTGCAACCAACTTTGGTAACACTTTTCCATAGGGTGCTGTTCATAAGGTTACATGACACCTACATAAGCTTGTCATGACGACTGACATAACTCTACGTAAATGTTTGTAAATGCTTATTCCTATTGGAGTCTTTTGATCAAAGTTAGCTGAAGTAGCCTTTATATAGGGTTATGTCAGTTGTCATGGCAAGCTAATGTAGGTGTCCTGTAGCCTTATGAACAGCACCCTACCCCAACTTCTAAGACTGAACTTTGGAGATGTGGAAAAACGTGCAGATTTCTTTGAAAACTGAAAGTGAGCCTTACTAAAAGAACGGAAGCTGTAATAAAGGTGAAGCATGAACACACTGAAAAGTGAATAAGTTGGCCATTTTGAATGGTCTCTGTCTTTTACACAGGTCCAAACGTGCATGCAGGACAGGTTTGTACAAAGCACTGTGGCATAAACAGTGCATCAGATTCTCTAACCTTTTCTGTCCATTTGACATGTGGTTATCTCTGGATAACACTGAAGATTATAATTATCTTCCAGCCTCTGTAATCTCCACCGTTGCATTAAGGCGTATCATGCTGCGCTGTTCGAAACCAAGTCCCAAGTGCCTTGCATGCATTTCAGGCATTTTTTTTTTTTTACTTCCTTACTGACATTTCTTCTGCATTGAAAAACAAATGCCTGCAGTGGCCAGCAGGGTCTCAATGCACATGACCACTCATTGATCATTTTTGAGGCCAGAGGACTTTGTTGACTTCTGATTAATTCAGGCTGACTTTCTTTAACCCACACAACACAGGCCACCATTCCATAACACTACATCAATACAGAGCAAATATCATACTTTGTTTATAACATTTCCAAAAAGAGTCATTTAACACAGTGGCTGTTGCTCATAAAGAGTTTGATATGAACAAATAGCCATCCTTCAAACACCTGGATACCCTGGTAGTGATGAACTCCTTAGGCCTGTCTTTATTGAAGCCACTGAGTAGGCACCCCCACACAGCACTAAGCACTAAGTTTCTGAAAGAGCTCTTTGGTGGGATGGGAGTAGGTGCATGCTGGGAGTGTGCTGTTACAATGCTAGGACACATGGACTCACGTCTGCCCCCATCCCCCCCGTGTTGCGCCAAGCTGTTCCCTGTCCAGCGGACATTCCTCGCGCACATCCACCTGACTCAAGCCTCCATGCTTAGCAGACAGGTGTCTATAATTAACTAATCTGTCCTAAGCTTTCCTAATCCAGCACACATACATAGATGAGAGTGTACACTGGAGGCAAAGCATTGTATGCATAGAGATATGTGGGTTCCTGCAATGTGTAACATATTCTTATACAGTAAATCAGGTCAAAACTGCGTAGTCAGTCTTTACATTCTGCTGTGCTTTGTTTATTGTTCAGTGTAGCAGCAATGCAACACTCAGGGTCATGATTTGTACAAAGACAGTCCTCCTGCTCACATTCCAGATTTTTCAATAATTCAGTTGTGGTTTTACCATAAATAGTAAGGTAACTAGGAGTAGTTAGTATGTATGAAGGAACCACAACTCCCAGAAGCCAGCAGTCTTGATTGCCTAACGCAAGCACATGATGACTCACGTGGGCTTCTTGCATGGTGGGCACATGAGTTGGGGATACTATGATCACTGAGAAAAGCTCATACTGCCACTGACCCTAGTGTAGTGTTTTCTAGCGCTGGCCATGGAGTCTACAATGAACTTTATTACTTGTCCCCTGCTCTAACACATGCATGGAAAACTCATGTTAATTAATTAGGAGGTGAGTTGAGTCGAGTACATTGGAAGCAAGGAAAACTTAAACTTAAAATGTGCAGGGCCTTCTAGGCCTTGAAAGAAGGCCAAATAAACTCTGTGATATGAAAAAATGCAATTATATAACTTTTTGCTCATTTTTATTAAATAAATAATCTTCATGTATGTCGTATTTAAACTTTCCAAGTACTGTAATAATTCTCATATGTAATTGTTACGTGTTGGAAATTCTCGACAGAAAATTTTACAATCAGGATTTTTTTTGGTATTAAGATAGATGCAGCCAAGCTAGCTTACCCATTGGAAGGACTTCTGGGGCTGAAGATGATAATGATTAAACAACATAATTAGGTAGTGACAATGTAATCGAACAATTTCGTTTAGATTTCCAATGGGTGGGACCAATTTGATGAGAAGCTTTCTGGAAGTCCAAGACTTGTCACTGACTGTGAATCTCAATATTAGTGTTTTACAAAGCTTCAGATGTCTAGAACATCCAGAAGATCAAGATGTTAAAGTGATTTGCTGTTAACTTAGTGCTATCATACCACTACAATCACATAGGGGTGCAATCTGAAATAAGCATTAATATAGCTGTGTTTTTGCCTTGTTTTTGACCAAGTTTGGAGAGTCTTGCTCTCCACCAGTGGGACCTGTGCTCTTTCTGGAAACTCTCATTCGGAGGATCACTCCTCCTGGTGATCCACTGATCTTCTCAGGCTATGGCTTCTGCCCATTCTGAACCTCTTGTACAGTGAAATCTCACATGAGACAGGAGTGACCCTGTATTAACTGCAGTGTAAGCTCTTCTCAAGAGGCCCAGAATTTTCCGTCTTGACCCTGGTGAAGTTGGATCAGGTGGCCCATTGGGTGGCTCGCTTATGGAGCTTGTCAGGTAGGGTCTGAGGGCAGCATTCCCCTCACTGATACAGCCTCTTGTAGTCTTATGACTGCATCCAGAAACAGATCTTTCTGTTTTTAGTCAGGGTAGCCAGGATGAGCCAGAGTAGAAAAAGATGGCGCCCCATGTGGCAGATGTCTCTGCACATGTCTCCTCTCTCTTCAGCTGCTATTTCACAGTATTGCACAGTATTTTCATTTTTGCTCATAATATACAGTGAAAATACGCTGTGAAAATTTGTCACAGCTACAAGTGCAGATCTGTTTTTTTTCCTACTCTTCTTCTATTTTGGTCCTTTCTTTTACTTTGTACCTGGTATTTTTATAGTGTTTGTGTAGAAACTTGTAGTCCAAGGGGTAGTGCAGAGTAGGAATTTCACTGTAGTGTGTAACTGTCTGGCAATAAACTCTTGAATCTTTGATGAAGCTGCTCAGGAGAGGAGAGGAAGAAGTACCTCAGGCGGTGGAAAGGCCTCAGGCAGTGGTGGTTTAGCAGGGTCAGATGCTGATATACTGCTGGTCTTTGCTGGCTGAACACCATAGTGCTGTCTTCAGTGCTAGAAGCTGGCCCCATGCCTCTAGCTACACCTTGAAGAAAGTCTCCAGCATCGTTCCTGCCAATCCCAGCCTCTATTGGATCTCGGTCATATTGTCCAACCAGCTGTTGAACTGACACCTGTAGTTGTACCTCAAGCATTTTCCATGAAGGAAAGGAACTCAAGAAATACAGCAGCTTGTCAAGTTCACAAGCCAGGCTCCTTTTCCCCTTAATGGGTTATGGGAAGGTCAGTCATCCCACTTTTGACACCAATGTAGTGTCTAGTGGCCAAAGATGTATCGGTTCATAGAAGGCTGCTTCCTACTGTGGAAAATGGTCAACAGAAAACTCCATATGAGTAACAACCTTAACAAGACAGAACAAAGTTCTCTAAGAGCTAATCCCACTAGAAGTTTACTGGGCAGTAGACTCTGATGTGAATCCATGCATGCAAATAAAAGACAGCTCTGGGGGCTGACGCAACATACTGCAACATGGAACTAGCCCCCTTTATTCGTGGGTGTGTATCCTGACGCTAATTAAGTCTCAATAAATGGTAAAGATATATCCACCAGACTGATGTTGGCAAGTTGGCACATAAAAAAGTTGTGCTTACATTCTAATTAAAATTGAAAAAGATATATGCAAAAATCTATAACAGCTAATAGGATGTGTTGCAGCCTGTTTTTAAAACAGTGGGAAAAGGGAAGCACAACACACTTTGTTTTTTAGCTAAATATTTTTTCAAATTAATTGAGCAAGATTAATATTTTTTATGCAATCAAACTATACAATTGTGCTACAAATAAAAATGTAAACTTCGTCACCAGCACCTACCATTTGTGAACAATTCAGCCGGAAGCGGCTCAAGTACTCTAGTTGTAGTTGTAAGTCACTAAAACATCTGGAAAATTAATACAAACACAATTAATTCAATACAGTTCTGTGCTGTTTAAAACACACAGGTTCTCAAAACTAAATGGCTAAAAACATGTTCATTAAAATTAATTTGCTAATTTACTTTCAAGCACCAAATGGAAGCACTCGTATTAGATCATTAAAATGCAAATATATTTTATTTACATGGCATTCATAGTATGTTTGTATGAATCTGTGAACAAAAAACTTCCAAAAATGAACTATTTTGAATTTATATTAGTGGGCATTGACTTCTCTCATGCATTCATTGGTAGGTGTTAAGCATACTTTTTGAGAAATGAAGTTTGCAAGGCTGCGAAGCTGCATGAAGCTTCATGACTACTGGAAAATGATTCTATCACAGTTCTGGCTATGGCAACATGCAGGTCACAAATTTGTCACAGAGGTTTTTCAACTTTTGAAGTCAAACATTTGAATTTCTACTGAGAGTTTCTCAGATTTCTCTCCAAGAGAGATTTGTAATCTTTCAGTGACAAATCAGAAAGGTGTCGATACCTTCATACCTGCTCTGAGAGCTACTCCTTAAAGTTATCCATCTTTGTTTCATGGCACACTTGTTTTGTACCAACCAATCACAGGCTTTGTCACGTTAGGTGAGCAAAGCCTCTACACAATGTCTGCGGTCATCATATTGTTCCCCTGAAGCCAGGCCTTTGTGGAAAGCTGTACTTTAGCCTAGCTAGTGTTTATAGGAGTTGTTTATATACTTCAAAATGATATTACAGCAACCAAGAAAGTGCTTAAAATACTATAGGCATTAACATATGACATAATTCAGCTATCAAAAAACAATGAAAAATTACTTTTATGGTATAAAAATGGTTTTTAGAGGCAATCTTGAGAAATATCTGACTGATTGCTGTGAAAATGTGCAGATGGCGTTGCTAGGGGAAAACGAGAAGGTGGCCAAAGGCATGCTGCACTTGAACCTGTTAAACTACATAAAAAGTCCATGGTACATCTTACCCCACATTAGTTTGTGGCCCACTCCCCACTAGCTGTGCTGATTTTTGCATAGTGACAGCTTTTGCATAGTGACTTTTATCTCTTAGCAATCCTCTTTCTATCAGACTGCATCATTTTTCTTTCGTAGAACACAAAAACAAGCTCTCTTTTCTTGCATAAGCACATAAAGACACACAAGGACAAGAGGTCATGATCTCACATGACCCTGCTTAAGCCTGTGTACTGTCTATTAGCAGAAACATGACATCATCCAGCAGCACAGAACGCTTTTAAAACCCAGACTAGCAGAATCCCCAGTACCTCCACTCTGATCTCATTTGATCTACCTGATAACTGGCCTCACGCAGAATGAAAAAATGACCAACTAGTCCATAGTGCGGTCTATAAGAGCTTTATTGCCAAGTGCTTTAGTGAAATCATAACAGTGATTTCAGTTCTCTGATCAGTTCTTTCACCAGTACAGGTTTATTCCATAAAAAACAACTGCACATTTTTAGCATGAATCCGTGGTGGCTCTGTTAGTACAGAATGGAAGTGTTGTGAGTGGTGGCATGTGAAAAGAAGGCTGGGAGTGAGTGTCTGAGGACAAGCTAATGCCTGCAAATCCTCAATGACTGACTGTTTCTCAATGACTGACTGTTTTTTGACTGAAAGTTCCTGATCTGACTTTCATACACAAACATATACCAACTCAAGCATGCAAGAACACCCACATGTGCCGGTAGTTTTTCACCAGCATGTGTCAACTCATTGTTTTTAAATGCCAAATTAAATGCCATACTTATTATTATTAAAGCTGAACAAATACTGGACTGGTTACAAGAAAGATGGATCATGCACACTAATGCACAACTTAATTAAAGGGCTCATCTTGGGAAAAAAAAATAAATAAACGTTTGATGTAGTCTGTAAATATTAATAACATACTATTCACTCTGCAGTCCATACAGTCCAACTTTGCTGCAAAAAAAGGCCATTATGGATCCACTGTTTTTGTGACGTCACGACAATCAATGCATTTACATCTATCTGCCAATCCAGCCTACAGCAGTTTAGCTCTGCCCATTCTTGTTTAGGTTATAAGGGGTGTTTCAGCCTGTACTGCTTTTTGAATGAAGCACAATGCAGATCAGCCAATGAGGACAGGGCTCATTTACATATATCAGTTTTAAAAGAAGGTTAACAAGCCGTTTACTTCCAAGGGATAAAAAGAGGTTGGGAATGGATCATATAAAATGAATTAGGACTGCTTTTGATACAAAAAGCCATAAATGCACTCAAGAAAAAAATAAATTACATGACAAATGTAAGACATGTGCCCTTTAATGAAGCTGTTTTCCTGACCCAAAGAGTGGACACCAATTTTGTTCATGAAAGAAACTTTACCTGCGAGACACTTGCTGTTGACTGACAGAGTAAAAATGGAGCAGTTTGGTCACAATCACAAAAGGAATGTTTGGAGAAAAAAGCAGCATTTGATGAAAAGAACACCTTGCCAACTGTGAAGCATGTAGGTGGACCTGTTATGCTTGAGGTTGAGGAGTAGCCAGTGGCACAGGAAAAATTTGCATGGGATGAAAGAATAGCTTTTACAAACTATTAGCAAATTCTGGAAGCTAAGATTGACCCAGAATGTGCTTGTCAATGTCTTATAACTTATAAAACCATAAATTAGCATATTAACGTACCCATGTAAATTCAAAGGCTTTCACCACCATTGTCCTTGATCCAAACCGTGGCAAATCTGTACATTTAGTGTAGAACTTTACTTAATGTTCTTCTCAATCCAGTTCTTAAAGTTGGCCACTCGTGTGTAGACTGTATACAAGCCTGGATTACAATTCTGCAGGTTGTAGCCAAAACTCACCAGGCCCAGCAATTCCCACCTTGGGTCAGACGCACCGACTTTTACATTCCTCTGGTCAGGGAGCATAGACCCTGAAGTCGTCCGGGTGTCAGTTGGTAAAAGAACTATGCCCCCTGTTCTGGCAGGACAAACTGTGGCAGAGCTGATAGGATGTTGCCTCCCACATAACATGTTATCGCTAACGCTAATGGAAACGCCTTCTTGAGCATACTGTCTTTCACACTGCGCCACATCAGCCAGTTCTACAAGACCGGTCCGAGACACTTCGGAGTCTGTGTCTGGAGCTGGTTCATGCTGGCCTGCTATAGACCAGCCAGTGATGTAGGCCTGTTGGGCAATCACTTCGCCTCCCTGCAGACGAGGCAAGCACACAGGGGAAATGAACCCACTGATCTTCGCCTTGTCTGCCAGCTTCAGTATAGCCAGATCCGAGTCAAATACATTAGGATCGTAGTTGGGATGAACCAGGATCTCCAAAACCTATGAGAAATAAAAAAAAATCAGGAGATCTAAACAGGTATTGATTTGGTTCAAAAGTAAATACTCCCGCAGCTTGTTTAGGAGGGTCTAATCACAGCTTTTAGGGCTGAGGCTTTAGCCAGAATAGTGGCTGCAACTAATTATTTTTGAAATTGACTAATTTATTTGCCTCATGGGCTAATCAAACTTTCATGCCTTCTGTGGTTTCACTTTCTTCTGCCCCTATCAACCCCCATCATCATTTAAAGGAATGGTTTGGTAAAAATCAAGTTTACATAAGTTCCTCTTACACCAGATGTAGCTGATAAGCCAACACAAGTCTGGTGTCCAAATTTTGCTTTTTTAGTTTTGCACTAGAGCTACGAGGCTAACAAACACTAGAAGTCAATAGTCATCCAAAACTTTTCAGTAAATACATCTCCAAAACCTCTTTGAAAGCTCAAACCACATCCAGGTCTTCATTGAGGTACATACTTATTGATGTGGTTTAGTGCACATTATGATTTACTATGAGGATGAACAAAACTTCACTGCAAACTGAAATCAGAAACAACAGAAACTGCAAACCTAATCTGTCCATATGCTTGTGTTGTGTTCATGCATGTGAAGAGAAATCAGAATTCAGACTGTTGTCTAAAGTGGCTGTGCACTGAGCTCACCTACACAATGAATGACAAACTACTGGATGTGGTTTGCATGGCTTGAGTTTTGGGGATGTATTTACGGAAAAGATTTGGGTGGCTAATGTGTTTGTTAGCAACATTAGCCTCTTAGAATAGCTCCTACATGCAAAATTGTGTAAATTAGATTTTTCACCCAACAATTCCCTTAAAATTCCACAAGCATTTTTTTTGTAGTTCAGTAAAACAGTAGAACCCCCTACATTTCCTGTAGAGTACTGCAATCTGTCAGAATGATCGCATGAATCATTTAACCCTTGTGTGGTGTTGATGTTTTTGTTACTCAGTGGTCTGGTGGACCCAATCCATTATTGTTTTTTTTTTTTTTTAAATCAATACAGCCATAGCAATTTTTACAAATGCAAGATGTTTAAAATATAGGTCAGCGTAGGGTTCTCCTTTAGCAGCTGTAGCCAGTCAGCAGCCTCTCTATGTTGTCCACCCTTACACCCACACACACAGATATAAAAACACACACAGAGACACACACACACTAACAGCAGGCCATGTAGGAGGGGAACAGAGTGAAGGGACACAGCACCTCCACACTTTTATTCCCTGCGGGTTCACCACAACACCACATGTGTAATATAAATGTGTGGGGGGGTGAACAGTGTGATAACATTGAAAATATGTTCTTCACAGAAAAGGCCAAAGAATCTGTGGTTGAAATAATAATAAACTGTATCATTTTTTTCTTTTGGTAAACACTGAAAATAGTTCCCACAGACCTGAACACCACAAAAGGGTTACACTTCACAGACCCAACAACACATTGACATATTGACTTTTCCTGCATAAAGTGACCAAATAACCAATCAATACATGACAGAAGACTAGATTATTAAATCTATCAACAGGAATGTGTTTTATGATGTCAGAACTCATTTATGCTTTTGAATATTGAACTATTTGTTGCTCAAAAAGACTTGTTGACATAGTAAAAAAAACTGATGTGAATTATGTAAGGATGCATCAGTACGGGAATTGTGTGCCGATGCCCATATTTTTCATGTGCGTGTCTTGATGAGATACTGATGCTGCTACCTGGATTAGAATTACAGGGAAATATATTTTTGTATATCTATATGATATATGATATGATGATGATATGAATGTGCATTCCTGAAAGTATGAACAACACTGATAGCACTTGTCTCTATGTATATATATATATATATAGCAGTCTGCTGCCGCTGGTTGAGATAGGATTAGAGCGTAGAGTGAGAGCTTTTACCTGCATGTGCTGAAGCCTCTTGCTGTCTCTCAGGTCACTGAGGTAATGTTTTCCCAGCACCACTCTTAGCTCAGCTGTGCTTAAAGGCAGTGACTGTCCAGGCTCTGTTACACAGTGTGCAGGCAGCAGTACAGCATGCTGGCTGACCAGAGCTCCACTGCACACCAGCTGCCACGACTGCTCCTCCGCAACGTTCTCCTGAGAATCATCATAATCGACTAAAGGAAATGTGTCCCCCCGTCTCTTGGTCCTCCCTAGGAGGAAGCTGTCATGGTCAGGGAGGTGGTGGTATACGGCCACATGCCATGGCCAGCGGGTTTCAGCCAGGGACTGGGGTTTGGATACAAGCTTACCACATACTGTAAAAAAGAACCACATATAAATAACCAATATAGTAGCCTAAAGATGAATATACTATAATAGTAATATACTGTCCAGTCACTCTTCTAGAAAACTGCATTTGTAACTGCAGTGATGAACCGTGACTATTAGAGCTAGGTCTTCTGTTCGGGCCATAAAACTCAGTTAAAAGCGAGAAAAACAACATCTCTACAACAATGCTAATTTCCTCTAGCACCCCTATGGAAATTCCAGCAGTTTGTTAGCACTAAGCCAACAAGGATAGAACATTTTTGGCTGTTTTAACCACTTCTAGAACTTCTATAAAGCCTAGAATGAAGTTTTTCTCACACAATTGATCCCACCCATTGTAAAACATGATCAGTTGATTCCACTGTCAGTTCCTGATTATGTTGGCAGTTAATCTAAAGTGTAAGGCCTTCAGTTCAGCTCCTGAAGTCCTAACCAATGGGAGAGTTGCTTGGCTGTATCCATCTACACACCCTACACACCATGGAGAAAAAAATCCTGATGGAATCATTTTCTCTTGGGTATTTCAAGAATTTAACACTTTTGTTTCCAACCAAAACATAATAGTGAAATGAAAGGATTACTACAAGAAGTATGGAGATTCTATTAATTAAAAACAAACGTTTATTTTTATTTCCTAGAAATTGTTTGGTTCCCCACTGTGTCCTGGGACATTTTATAGCACTGTTCTGCTTGTAGCCAGCTGACCGAAAGTGTCACCTTTTTCTCTGAGCCCTGAAAATGTGTGTGCTGCCCCCACCTGGTGAACAGGACGCATGGCGTCCACTCCACTCGCCAGTCTTCAGACAGGTACGGCGTGTACTTCCAGAAGACTGATAAAGAGGAGATGCACATTCATACTCAATCCTGGTGTAGAGGTAGTGAAAGCCAGCAGGTAATACAGCTGTGCTATCAGTGCTATCTTCATCAGCAGTTGTCGGCTGGGAGGAAGAATACAGCTTGTGCAGAGGACTCTTTCTGAAAATAGCAGAGTGATTTCAGCCAATGAGATGCATGCTTCAGAAAACGGAATTCCACCGATTTTTAAAAATTGTATAATTAAATTGTTAAGATGTAAATATATTCATTCAGAGTGGTTTGATGTGAAATTCTCCATTCTAGAGAAACTTACAGAGTCAGAATTGTCTGTAGTGGTGGTGATAGGAACCGGACATTTAAAGTGTTTAACCCATCTAAAAGCTACATCACAGAATCGTTAAATGGCTCTAAATGTGCTGCTTGATGCCTGAGACATTGTCTTATGATACTTCTGAGATAAGGTTTTAAAACACATTCCTGGAGTAGAAGTACATGCAGGCTGTTATAAGGCAAAATAGTACCCAAATAAAAAAAAAATCTGATTTTACTCCAATTTGCCATTATCAGCACTACATTTAAAAACTCAGAAGACACATCATTTCATTTATGGTTTTGGATAGTTAGTAAAATGACTATATTTGTGTTGCAGACATCACAACCCCGGTTCCTATCACCACCACTGTAAAGAAATCCAATTCGGTAAGTTTCTATACAATTAACAGTTTCACATTACACCACTCTGAACGACCATGTTTACATTTAGACTTTTGAAGAAATGTTTAAAAGTCTGTGGAATTCCCCTTTAAGAATGAATCACTTCATGAACTATCATTTAGTAACTTTTTTGTATTTTCCAAAGTATTTGAAACATTTAATAAGAAATACCTACAACCTGGGTACCTTTGCATGTATGTATAACATCATACCTGGAAGGAGACAGAGGTTTCACCACCTTCTGACGCACTAGTTTCGAAACCTTTGGTTCACGACAAGCTGCAACACATCAGTAAAGCTTTCACACTGCAACATGAAGGGTCTAGTAACATGACGTAGGTCTAAAAGACAGACATGCTATTATCCATGACTGTACCTTTGATGCACTGGGGCTGCGTGCCACTCCAGGTTCCATTCCGCTGGCACATTCTCTTTGAGCTTCCACTCAGGACATAAGGACTGTTACAAAAGAACTGCACACTCTTTATTTTACCATCTGAGGCCAAATTTTGTTTGGAGAAGCCAAGATGTGGTTGTGGCAGAGAGGTACAGACTTTTTTGGCTGGCTTTGCCTCTGCATTTCCAAAGAGAAATAAAAAGGTGAGCTAGTACACGTCGCTAAGCCGTACTGCTGGACATGTTTTATACATTTCCTAAATAAGACCATAGCGATCAACTTATCAATGCACCACCCACAAATATATATCATAGTTACTGTTACTAGGCTGGAGGAGCCAAACAGAACACTGGCAAAAAATCCATTCAGCTTTCTTATATGTAGATCAAAATCTCTATGTTAAGAGAACATTATTAATTTAAAATATACACTATATGGCCAAAAGTATGTGGACAATCGACCATCAGACCAATATGAGCTTGTTTGACATGCCATTTTAAAACCATGGGCATTAATATGGAGTTGATTATAACAGCTTCTACTCTTCTGGAAAAGCTTTCTACAAGAAATGTGGAGTGTATTTGTGGGAATTTGTGCCCATTCAGTCAAAAAACATTCGTAAGGTCAGGTATTGATGTTGGACAAAGCAGCCTGGCTCACAATCAATGTTCCAATTGAGTTGAGGTCAGGGGTCTAGGAGGGGTCTGGAGTTCCTCCCCACCAAATATGTCAAACCATGGCCTTATGAATCATGCTTTGTGCACAGGGGCACATTCATGCTGGAACAGGAAAGGGTCTTCCCCAAACTGTTACCAGAAGTTGGAAGCATATAATAGTCTAAAATGTCTTTGTATGCTGTAGCATTAACATTACCTTTTAAAGGGCTGAGCCCAAACCCTGAAAAACAGCCTAGACTGTTAACCCTCCTCCACCAAACTTTACTGTTGGCACTTTGCATTCTGGTTGGTAATGTTCTCCTGGCATCTGCCTAACCTACATTCGGTTATCAGACATCCAGATAGTGATGCCTAATTCATCACCCCAGAGAACACGCTTCTACTGAGTCCAGTCCACTTCTACTGAGTCACTTTACACCAGCAGATGCTTGGAATTGCAGCTCCTAGTTTTCATTCCAACAAAGCAGGAACACACATAATTAGTGGTTTGAAGACTGAGCAATTGGTACAACCTGCAGAATCAGGTGTGCTTCTGCTCATTTGGAGGGAAACATACAGCCACATTGGCCCTTGCGAATAAGATTGGACACCACTGCGCTATGCACTTCAGCTCTCGGTGGTCCCGCTCTCTGAGTTTGTGTGGTCTGCTGCTTGGTGGCTGAGTTGTAGTTGCCCCTAGATGCTTCTATTGCACAATAAGAGCACTTACAGTTGACAGGGGCAGATCTAGCAGGGCAGGACTTTCACAAACTCACTTGTGGCAAAGGTGGCATTTTATGACAGTAACTCTTCAGTATGTCCCATTCTACTGCCAATGTTTGTCTATGGAGTTTGCACAGCTGTGTGCTTGATTTTATAAATGATCACTTTTGGCCATATAATGTAACTTTGTTTACATGTGAATGATCCCACCAGCCACATATGTTATGCATATTTTATTCATTGGTGGAAATGGCAAAAATGAATTTAATAAATTCACCGAATGTTGCATAAAAGTTGGTACCCTTGCTTGAGGTAGATAGATATTTTTTGCAGATGAAAGCATATGTGATAAATTATGATGGAAACATCTAGGTTTCAGGATAAATAATACAAATACAAAACATGACATAAGGCAGGGGACTGATATAAAATTAAAACATAGCTCAATCTAATCAAAGAAAAAACATATCAGTGATGTTAGACAGTAGATAGACAGGATGCTTGCAGCTGATTAAGGGACAAGTCCTGAGCTGTTGTGTTTGCCAGTGTGTTTAGTCTTCATGCTCACATAATTCAAAATATAGTCATAAAATGAAAACAAAACAGCAATGAGAAGCTGCTCAAGATTAAAAGTTAATCTGCAGACTCACTTTATATTTCTCAGAAATGTTTTTATAAATATGACATTCAGTTTTATTCTCTTGTACGGAGTTGATGGAAACTTCATCTAATATTGCATATTTTTGTGACAATTCAATTATTTAGTTGAATTTAATTTGAGAAGAAACCAGGCTAATCGAGCTAACATTAGCATAGTGGCACATTTTTTTTTGCAGTCTGATTAGTTTCAATTCAACTACTAATGCAGTTGGGTAGAGCTGACAACTCAAACTTGCATAGCGACTTAAATCTAACAAACATGCAATTTGCATATTTTGATTATTTTGATTTTGAACATGATTTCTGCCACCCTTCTTCAATGCTTGTTCAACTCTGCAATGAATGCATTTTTGGGTGAAGCATGGATGGGTCTATTTACAATAAGAACCAGATTTGCCATTTTCAGAGTAGAACCTTCATCTCTACTAAGCTGCTTATCCACCTGGGTTGCTGGAGCCTATCTCAGCGGTCAGAAGGCAGGAAAAACTCTGGACAGGCCGCCAGTCCACCACAGGGCAAAAACACAGACATACACACTCACACTTGGGGTCAGTTTAGCATCTCCAATTGGCCTGATTGCATGAGGAACATGTAAACTCTACACAGAAAGGAACCTGGCTGCCCGGCCGAGGAATTGAACCCAGGATGCAAAAATCCAAAGCAAATGACCTAACATACGGTGAATACACAAGCCCAAAAAATCAGGTCTAGTGTACCTTTAACACACGTGGGAGCCGTCCCGCTCCATTTACCATTGGGCAGGCACATTCTCCGGGACACTCCCTTGAGTTTGTAGGGCTTATAGCAGAGGTACTGAATTGAAGTTGCAATGTCTCCATCATCATACTGCAGGAAAAGATCCCCATGGGCAGGTTTCTGAGGGGGTACACAGCCAGAGGGATCTACACAACCCAGGGAATAGTCTTGATTACATGCCTTGTAGTGTAATACATGTACAATACAATGTACAAAGGTGTCATGTACACATACACTACTATTCAAAATTTTGAGAATTACTGCTAATGTTAACAACTGTTATTTTATTAGGTTATGACTTACAAAGTGTTATTTGAAATATGATAAACTAAACATCAGACAGTCTTTGTACATGTCTATTACAACATTTCAAGTCTTTTGGGAATAACAAGAAGTTATTAAATGATGAATTATATGTTGTTTATAATTTCTTTTCAAGTTATTGGCCTTGAGACTTAATCACCACTTTACACACACAATTTAGTCCATAATTATTGGCACCCTTGGTGAAGATGGGTAAAAAAAATGGTTAAAAAAATGAGATAGTTTAGAGTAAGAAAACAACCTTTAACCTTATACCTTTAATAAAACCATACGTGTCACTATTATTTGCACCCCTGCATTTAGTAATCTGCCCAACCTTGCCTTAACAACATTATGTTCTCCTTATAGTTCTCCTGTAACATTTCATGAGGATAATACAGATCAAAAAACATGAGTCCACCCTTCAATACAGAATCTCTTCAGATCCTCCAGGGTCCTGGGTCCTCTTCAGGGTCACAACACAGGTTTTCAACAGGGTTTAGTTCAGGAGAGTATGATGACCATGTCAAAAGACTGATTCTTTGGTCACTGAACCATTTTGGTGTGGATTTGTATTTATGTTTTGGATCTTTGTCCTGCTAGAAGATCTGAGCACAACTTAGTTTTAGCTGTTTGGCAGAGGCAGCCAGATTTTCATTTAAATTCTCTTGGGACTTCATGGTGTCCATGTTGCCATGAATCCTAACGTTCCCAGGGCCTTTGAAGAAAAAATAGCCCCAAAATATCACTGAGAATAACAGTGAGATTCAGTTCTTTTCTCTATAACTGTCCTTCTTTTAATGTCAAACTCACGAAAAAAGCTCTGTTTTATCTAACTGACCTTTTTTACCCATCCTTACCAAGGGTGCCAATAAAAATGGAACTGTATGAACTGTATGAGGTATTCTGGACAGCAATTTTATTGTTATGTCATTCTTAACGTTTTATCTATTATTTTGGAATCATCTACAGTTTATCTTTCTGGACACATCAACAATCATTTCTTCTTATACATTATTTGAATACCCCAAAGTACTAGTATAATATTAGAGCCATTTTATATGTGTATCCAGTGATTGTCAGCTTTTGCGTGCTGATTCCAAGCTTTTGAACAGGAGTTCTTCTGTTTATTTCTTTCAGTTTTACCATTTTACATTCCAACTTTCACAATTGCTGTGTAGTGTTTCATTTTTTCCCCACCAAAGAACAATTTTAAGACTCACTGTTTTCACAGCGCGCGCCTGTGAAGCCGGGTCGGCAAGCGCAGCGGAAAGTCTTAATTGGATCCAGTGAACAGACGCCGTCGTTCATACAGGGAGAGAAGCTGCACGCTGCAGGAACAAACACAGAAAGCCAAGCCAGTGAGGACAACAATCTGGAGTAAAAACACACCCAGCAACTTTAACTCAGCACATAGATACCTGCTTTTGTAAACTGCACCTGTGAGTTCCTGAAATGTGGCAGAGAAACCATCGTAATTGTTATAGCCATCTGACACAAAGCGGATGTGTAAAGAGTCTCCTGAGCTCCTGATTGGTGAAGGGATATCATTCCCACAGTATCGAGCAATGATGCGCGAGTCAAGGCTGTCTCCATCTCGGACCTCGACGTAATCATAGCGACAGTTGTGATCAAACTCCAGACTGAGCATTGTGAACCTGTGAAGATAAAAACTAGTTCAAAAAATTGGCTGGATAATGTAAAGCATGAGATTAAATCTCATCACTGTCATAACAAAACCAACTTTTTGGAGCAGGAAGAACATTTAGAGGCAGACTTACTGACTTTTTGCACCATTGCAGACTCTATTTTGTTGTTAAAAAATGGGATATGCACTTGTTTATAAGAGAGCGTGAAATTCTTAGAGGACATTATTATAAGAAATTATGTCATTTGTCTGTTGAAAAATTAAGCTGCTGCCCCCTTTTGGCAGAAACAACATGTGTTTCCTGTAACTGTCTACCAGTTTCTGACATTTACTAGGAGGAACTTTTGCACATTCCTACATGCTGAATTCTTTCAGATGTGCAGTGTTCAAGGGATTCCTTTCATGTACAGCCCTTTTCAAATTCTCCCACAGCATTTCAAAAAGCTTTGGGGTTGGGCTTTGCCAAAGCCAGTCCACATCCCTCCCTTTTTCTTTTTGAGCCATTCCTTTATGGATTTACTTTTATGTTTGGGATCATTATCCTGTTGGAAGGTCCACCTCTTGAGTTTCAATTGTTTTACAGATGGTGTCATATTCTTCTGAAGCGTTCTTTGGTATGAACAAGACTTCATAGTCGATTGTATGATTGCAAGTTAGCCAGACCCTGAGGCAGCAAAGCAGCCCCAAACCATAACATTTCCACCACCAGCTGGTATGAGGTTCTTCTGATCAAATGCTTGGTTTTTGACCAACATGACTTTTGGTACTCTGGCCAAACACCTTCTTTTACTCGTCTATCCGTAGCACATTGTTCCAGAAGTCCTGGTCATTGCTTAGATATTCAAAATAATTCATTATTTCCTTAAATTTCCGACATATTATGGCAAAATACCTTATTTTCTTAAGAAACAATTACTTTTTATGTTAAAATTTTATGTTCTGTACTTTCTTGACAAGTAATAACTCTTTTTTTGTCTCTACTTGGTCACATTCAAAAAAAAATATTTACCTGAATTGAATTGAATTATGGAAAATATTTCCACACAGGCTTTCAATCAAAATAAGGCAATTTTGTTGATCCAACATAATTTAATTGTCTAAACCTGCTATCATATTTCCAACCCAACTCATTACAGTTTGCTGAACTTGAGATACTAGTGTGGTTTTAACTTACGTTAAATCCAACAAGACAGCCTAGGAGGAAAAACAACAGAAGATGGAAAGATATGCACAGTATGTAAATATATGGAGCCAGGAGCCAATAAAATCTTTGAGAAATAATGAAAAAAGTTCCCCTAACTCAAAATAGTTGAGTAATGTGGGATACATCCTATTTTATATTTTATATAACACTTCATTTATTTGGGTACGTGTCTTGTAAGTGGAAATTCCATGAGAACTCGAAAAACAGTTTTTCAATAGTAATTCTCTTTTATTTGACTTCATTGACTTTGGCTAATTTAACATTTGGGATAATTATATTCTTTCAATACAATTATTTTAAGTGAATTTAAAAATGGGTCAATTAATATCAACTTGATTTGTTTTCTTGACATGTACATGAGCCAGATTTATGTTTTTAGTGCATTGTTCTGACTCACAAGTCACAATCTTGAGGAAATAAGTCTTTATTTTGACCTAATGAGTCTAAGTTGTTTTTTCTCCTACTTGGCGAAACAGAAAGCGTACGAACCAAAACAGCTGGTTACATTGTGCTGATCAAATGTTAACCCCTTAAATGGCCAGGGCCTGCTGGCTTTTTTATTACACACTTCTATAACCTATGAATAGCTCACTCAGTTTGCATTGAAGTCCCTGTAGTTACTGAATAATACAGCTTAGTATGTAATAAGCCTTGGATTTCGATGGGTTGATTATAAAATTGTGCCTGCGTTTATTTGCATGCATGAGGTAACCCACTAAACTGGCCGCCCCACTAGTGCAAAGTGTCAGTAGACAGTCAGTAATTAGCACCTCTCTTGGTAGATCAGTCCCCTTAATAATGTTAATGTAAAATCGTTTTATCCCAAGCAATTTCTATTGGTCTATTGGTTATGAGAAAGTTGGCAAAAACAAACAAACTGGGATGAAGTTGTGAAGTTTTGATATGACAGTGACAATATGCTCTTACTTTAATAACACAGAAGTCATTTTATATTTGTATGAGTGAGCTTGGCAGTAGAATATGAAGAGTGAGATGAGAATTGCCTGAGTTCCATGGTCAATCCTCTGCTGACATGCAGCGTCCAGTCACATTTGGCATTGATCGGATAGCTCTCTAGGATCACATGACCTTGAGGCCTCCTGATAACTTCTCCACATGCTGGAAAGGGAAAACATACACGTGGACATTCTGTGGAAAGCACACATGTGGAAGCTTGTGTCTCTGTTGTTTTCTGTAAATGCTGCAGTGCTACATCGAACCCAACCTTAACCCTAACCTCAGAAACCAAAAAGGCACTAGAAAAGAAAAATAATGAAAATGTTTAATGTGTAAGTTTTCCTCTGTGTAGTGTAAGACATGTGAAACAGTCCATACTCACTGAGACAGGCTCCTCCAGTCCAGCCCTGACGACACTCAGTGCAGTAAGTGCCACTGACGTAGAAATCATCCTTTGCCTCCCACGTGCCATTATTGCACCTTTTACAGTTATCGAACACATTGCAGCCTGCAAGCATTTGATGTGAGTCAAATGGCATGACTGACAGGTACATTAAAAGAATACTGCAGCACTGGAGCTGTGAGTCGAATGTAGCTAACAAGTAATCCAAGTGCATTCACTGCCAATTAGCATTGTGCAAACTGAATTCCTAAATCATTACATACTTCCCCTCAAATCTGGTGCTTCATGTCATACTGTAGTTAACTTAAGCAATGGGAAAGAAGCACATTGCATCGCTAAACACAGCAGTTGCAGCTACCCTGAAGCCTGATTTGTCCTCATACTCTTGTCTTTTATAGTCATACAGTTCAAAATCCACATTAGCAAGATTTAACAACCTGGTGCAGTTTGAGATGACTGATGCTTTGGACATGCAGTTTGCATGATGCTAACAGGGTGACCATAAGTTTCCAGCACTTGTAAGCTGGGTCATTCTACCCTTGTTAATTCTTCTTTTTTGAATATTAATTATAGATTTTTAGTCATGTTGTACATTAAAAACCACGTCACAGCAGTGATTTTACAAATGCTGAGGAATTATTTTTATGTAAAACAACAATTTTGATGATTGTTGAACTTGAATTGTACAAATGCATGAAAGGTTTTCTCTGTTAATGTTAAAATAATATTGCAAATATCAAAATATAATTTTATTTTGATTATCTGGGCCTTTTTTAGTCAGTGGTGTTAGAGTAACATAAAATGTCATTAAAAAAAAGAAAAGAAAATCTTTTTGGGTAATTTCTTATAAGGATATCTCAAAGGAAGGACGACAGACTTTGAGAAGTACATGGTTAGTGAAATATTTTACAATTTTCATAAATTTGGCGAAAATACTGACAGCTTTGCGTGTCACAAAAATGTCAGTGGTGTTACGAAACATTTAAAATTGAAAGAGAAAAACATTGTGAATGCAATATTTGTAATTTTCTACTAAAAAAGCTGACTGTAAAACTAAAGTGGCAGTGGAGCGTATTTCAGAAGAGCTCAGATTTCAGTAATTCTGTCGGTGGTGTTACAGTTAGTGGTGTCCTACCACATTTACCACCACAGTGGTAGAATGACCCAGCTACAGTGGCCTCATAGCTACAGTGCAAAACTAAAGAAGCAAACTTCAGACATAAAACATGTCTTGGTGACCGACTGACTTTAGGGTAAGGGGAAAAATTGTGTTTGATTTTTGGCCAAACTATGAATTCATTTCTGGATGGTAAGAATTTGTCTCTGACTGGACCCGATACAAATGCATTCTCCAGAATAGATGCAAAAATACAATGGTGTAAGTAGCTGTAATTGTTGCTGGAGGTCAGTCTTACCCTGGTGGATGATGCAGGGGTCACACTGGTGGATATCATTGCGGCAGCAGGGCACAGCGTAGCCTACCTTTGTTCCTTGAGATGGACACTTACAGGCAATCCGCTCATACTCACAGCATGAGCGGCACATGACGTTCCAGCGAGGGCCTGGACACTTATCCTCCTGAGCCCTGGATTCTGAAACACACATATGAACAAATAAATTCAGAACTTGTATCATAAAATATATTTTATTTGGACACTGTAAGAATTCTTCCTTTTTAATGTTGTAGATTTTTATGTCTCACCAAATCTGGCTCTCATTATGACCCAGTTTACCAAATATGTGTATTACTCAGTGTGTGTGTGTGTGTGTGTGTGTGTGTGTGTGTGTGTGTGTGTGTGATCAACTACATTTCTATGTTTCTATGTACATCATACAGAATTTCCACATGAATTAAATGTATTAAACCAACACAATTATTGTCAAACATAAGTAAACTCAAAGAGAAAGTTGTGTTGGTATTTAATAAAACTACAAAATTTCCAAAAATGGGCATTCTGTACAAGTTATTCATTTTTTAGATATGTTTTTTAGGAGATATTTCTGATGAGATTACATATAAGATAATCTGCTTGCATGAGGAAGGAGAAAGTCAAAGGAAAACAAGTGAAAAACTTTCATCTTTGAGAGAGAGGAGAAAATCCTGCTTCAGATCTGAGAAAACCCACACGAGTTTCTGTCCATCCTTCCACTGTGAAAAGACAACTCAGTGTTATGAGTCTGAAAGGATGTATAGCTGTCAGGAAGCTCTTAATGAGAAAAAGAGAATCGCTTTTTTAATCATATGAAAACGAGGTATCATTTCGTTTTTTCAGCTTGTACTTTATAATATGGGTGTAGAAGACTTTACTGACTTTGGAAAACACCGCAGTTACAGTTATGACTCAAGTTGTTCTTGGCACACTGACATTTTAGGGAAACAGCCCAGAGTGTTCAGCAACCCTTCAGGATTATGAAAGCACTAAACATCTATAAAAGCTATTTAAACAGCCACAATTGCCTGCTCATGCAGTTATGCACTGTTGTGGCAGGTGATTTCTGCAGTTCTTATAAATGCAAATCAGCACTTCTCCTGTCTAATTATCATCATTAATCATGTATCACCTGCCAAGAGTGCTACCGACACCTTCACTGGAGCGGAACATCACAATGATTCTATAGAACAATGACCACGTATGTAGTTTATGTGTGTATTTGAATGTGAAGGTGCAGCTGTGTTCTTGATTCATTTTCATGATGCCTTCAAATTCTGGAAAATTTGCATTACTATGAGTTTAGGGTCAGGAGCGAAACGGTAACGGACAGTAACACTTTCTATGAATGTCACGTTTGTAAGCATCTATAAACACATTTATAACATGTTATAATGCCTTCATACGGCATTATAAACATGATTATAAACATTTCTAAAAGTGAATTACACTGGATTACACTTTATAGCCATGTTTATTATACATTATGAATTGTTAATATAATGCATTATAAGTAGTGTTGATAACATGTTATGCTGTCAATGCCAAAGAAGTCAGTCCCAGCTTGGAGAGTGCAAAGTAAAAACAAATTCCAAGCTAACGGTTGTGTACATTGACTTTCCCACATTTGGGATGCACTGATGGCAGCACTAGTTTAAACTCTGACATTTGAAGCCTGTAATGTGCTTTATTGTGTATGTTTTAGTGTTTCAGTAAATCCTTCAGTAAATACTTCAACTCAAAGCCTCACTCTTAACACTGGAGGAGGCTTTAGTACAGTATGCTTCACTTTACTTAGAGCGGACAAATACGACTTATGAGCTCTTATAATTTGTTATGATCAGTACTTATAATGTATTATGTTAACAATTCATAATGCATAATAAGCATGGCTATAACATGTAATGCATTTTTATAAATATTTATAGCCATGTTTATAATGCCTTATGAATGCATTATAACATGTTATGAATGTGTTTATAGATGCTTACAAAGGTGACATTCATAAAAGTGTTACCGGTAAAACATGCAAAGAATGTGCATGCACTGCTGTGAGTCACCTTGTAAAGCCTGAAATCATAATTTAAATTCAGAACTTTTGGGTTTGGTTTTGCTGGACACTTTTGGGCCACATCAGACATCTTACATATTAACGTCACAAGCACAGGCTCAATGTTTAGGTCTCAAAATCAACATTATACTGATGAAGATACAATGGGAATAGTAAATAATTCTAAAGACATGTTTTCCCCAAAATTTTTGAGCTCTTTTGACTTCTAAACACACTATCAACAATCAGACTGCGTTAGAAAGCGTTCTTCCACAAGTTGTGTGCAATTACACATTTCTACCAGAGGGGTCTCCAAATCCCCAAAACTTACAAAGTATAGCTTTGACATGCATTAAAGATGTTTTTTCTTCTCCAATAAATGTATGACATCAGAGGTGCAAAGTTTATACATATGGTATGTACAACAATATATAACCTTTCATGCACCACCAGAATCTTTCTATGTTGATTTTACCATAAAGAAAAACACTTAAAGCAATTTTCATGAGAAAGTGTCTCTAAGTAGACAGAGCAAATCTCTTAGCAAAAATGGTACTTCACAGTAGCAAAAACTGGTTATATGACTTGGAACAACAGCACAATACTTTTGTTTCTAGGTATCTTTAAATAAGATTCTTCAAATAACCATATACAACAGATTTGTCATCATAGAGAAGAACCATTTAACCATAGAAAGAACTATTTAAGTATTCAAATAGTTATATGGTTCTATTTATAACTATTGCCTTTACTAAAGAACTCTTGAAGAAACACTTTTAAGGGTGCAACGCTTTTGGCTGTTGCTATACATCCTTGCATTTGGTGTCTAAGAGCATTTCCAGTCATCCTTTCTTGGCTAACTTATCTCATATCTGCTTTTCTCATCTGGAGAAGTCATGGAGCAGAAAATATCTGCACCACTGAGGTCTGTCCACCCTGATTTGTCTGCAACAAGGAGCATGACCTTTGGCCCTGATTCTGCCTTAAAGGCTGCTGCATATTCCAGAGCTTATTAATCATCAAACACTGGCCCTCTTGGTCAGTGACTAATACTAATTTCTGTGGAGGGCTGGACTCTATTAACTTGTACAGATGGTAAAAGCAGACACAGGAACAACGGTTCAGTACTGGCATGGAAAATAACTTGGACAGAAACAGAAGATGATGTGCTGATAGTCCAGCAGACTTTCCTCTAGTGGAAATATTTCAATTACAAAGCACACTGTACAGACTACAGAGGAGTATTCAACAAACTGCTACGCTCACAATTAAATGTTTCTAAATAGTTCTTGGCTTGGATGTACAGTACTGTGCAAAAGTCAGAAACCACCCTTTATTTATTTAATTTCTAATCAAAACTGACTTTAAGGACAAGTTATTTGTTTTTCTGGAAATATTTCTAAAGAGTTTAGATATAAGATAACCCACATACATTAGGAAGGGAAAGTCAAATGAAAATAATTGAAAAAAGAGAATTTCGCAAAACTGGAATTCAGAAAATCTTTAAAAAGCCATACAGAAAAGGGGACTCCTAACAACCATGCAAGACCTGGTAGACACCAAAACTGTCCCTGTCAGATAAACAGCACTTAAAGCTTTCATCTTTGACAGAGAGAGGAAAATCAAGCTGCTTCAGATCTGAAAACATCCACAGGTGTTTCTGTCCATCCTTCCACTGTGAGAAGACAACTCAGCACTATGGGTCTGAAAAGATGTGTAGCTGTTAAGAAGCCTCACTGAGAAAAGAAGACAGACACATCAAACAGAAAAGCTGCTGGCGTTTTCAGAACAATGGACTGACCACCCCGGAGTCCAGACCTCAACATCACTGAATGTATCTGGGATCACTTGGATCTTGAGAAGCAGAAAATGCAACCAACTTCTAAGATTGAACTTTGGAGGGGTGGAAAAACATCCCAACAGATTTCTTGGAAAAACTGGAAGAAAATCTCTTATAATAAAATGGAAATGATGGACACAACATTGAAAAACATTATAACACATTTAGTTGGTGAGATTTTGGTATCATTTTCTGTTAAACATGTTTTCTGCTTCCTGATGCTGAAAAGTTAACTTGTACTTTATAGCTGGTTTGACTGTAAATTAAATGAAGCGTGGTCTCTGACTTTTGCACAGTACTGAATGATTCCACGAAAAACCTTTCCTAATATGGAGGTTCTTTAACTCAAAAAAAGGCTCTTCATACATTTATGCATCATTTGTTTCATTGTTTCCTTTAAAGGACCGTCCATTGTAAGGGTCTTAAAGGGATTAAAGGTGGGTCTTCTACAGCATCGATCCAAAGACCCGTTTTAGCACCTTTGATTTTATGAAGGTAGAGAAGTCCTGTTCTTACCATGGTGCCAGGCTGTCAGTGGGCAGTAGAGCTGAAGGAGGTGGAAGAGAAGAGCCAGTAGACAGACTTTCCATTTGGAAAACAGAGAAAACATCCAGATCCCACTGTGTCCTACAAAAAAGAGCATTCTTCTTCCAGGGCGCCGCTGCTAACAATCACGATCAATCTGCATAAAAAACGCAATCCAGCACTCTCAGACACTCCTCATCTCTACCAGCCCCCTCTCTCACTCTCTCTCTCTCTTTCTGTTTGTCTTCTCTCTCGCTCAGTCTTTCTCTTTCTCTCTCTTGCTCTCTCTTCTGTCTTACTCCTCTTCTCTCTCCATTTCTTCTCTCTCTATTTCCCTTTCTTTCCTCTATTTCTCTCTTTCTCCCTTTCTCTGTCTTCTCTCTCTCTCTTTCTCTCTCTCTCACTCTCTCTTGTCTCTCACTCAGTCTCTCTCCCTCTCTCTTGCTCTCTTTTTCTGTCTGACTGATCTTCTAGTTCTCTTTCTGTCTTCTCTCTGTCACTCTTTTCTCTCTCTCTTGCTTTCTCTTTTCTCACCCCAACCTCTCTCTCTTGCGTTTTCTTCTCTCTTTTTTCTTTCCTCTCTCTCTCTTTCCCCTCTCTCTCACTCTCTCTCTCTCTCAGTAGACTGTAAAGACCATCTCTGCTGTATAGCTTATGATCGTCTCTCTGCAGAGCTGCTGAAGTGATGTAAGAGCTCTGTTGAGAAGCTTTGATCCAGAGCGAGAGAGCCAGTCATTAACCCTTTGTCATTAACACAGCCACATGAGCTCTACTGATACAAACGCTGATGGAATTTGCTCCAGTGTGTACATCTTTTCCACATAAATACATTACATCAGCACATGTATTGCCAAAACTATGTAAACCCAAAGACAATGTAGTGCCAATGTAGCATATTTTATGCATGTGGAAATGATGTACAGTACAGAAGTACAGCACGGTTACAAGGAAGCCTCAACAAGTTAATATAAATAATATGTCTTTGTTATTTAGTGTGTCCACCTTTTACCTTCATTGCGCTTGCTTTCGACTTTTTTCAAAGAAATCTGCAGGGATATTTTTCCACACCTCCAAAGTTCAGTCTTAGAAGCTGGTTGCATTTCCAGCTCAGGATCAAAATAATCCCAAACACATTCAGTGATGCTGAGGTCTGGACTCTGAGGTGGTCAGTCTGTTGTTCATTTGCAAATGTTCTTCTTTTTTGTCTTTTTCCTTTTCTCACTAAGCGCTTCTTAACAGCTACACATCCTTTCAGTTCTGAAGCAGGAACTTGATTTCCTCTCTCTCAAAGATGAAAGCTTTAAGTGCTGTTTATCTGATAGGGGCAGTTTTGGTGGTCTACCAGGTCTTGCACAGTTTAGTTTACTTTCTAGTTTGGGAAACTCTTTTTTTCTTATGTTCTTTTGACCTTATGCAAGTAGGTTATCTTATATCTAATCACCTCAGAAATACCTCCTGAAAAATTCATGACTTCTCCTTATTGTTTGTGTTGACTGGAAATGAAGTACATGAAGGGTGGTCTCTGACCTTTGCACAGTACTGTATCAGTGTGTATTTAATATATTCCATGCATCACAAATACATTCACTGACAGGCAGCAAGAAATAACTGCACTCTAAATACATAAAGTTATGGATATTAAAAGAAACCTTCATATCTCAAGTGATACATTTTTAAAAGCTATTGGCATCTGACATTTGACATTTTATGTCTCTCATAAACTGTTATCCATGAATCTGAATAAGTCTTGGCTCTAGTCTACTTCACTCATAAAGTTAAGGGCAGGCGGAATGGACAATACAGAATAAGGGTGTCATAAAAATCACTGGAAAAGAAAAAATGCCCAAGTCTAAGGTTTAAAAAGACCCAAAAGCACTGCTCTTGTCCTGTGACAGTGACAATTGATCCAAAAGAGCTTTGATGACTCAGAAATGGCTTCCATTTTTATTAGTCTGATGCAGCCACGGGCAGAAGTAAGTGAGGTTGTTTATTTTCTGTGGTGCAGCTCTATTAGCAGACTAAGCGCTAACACATCCCAAACCCCCTCCACCCCCTCACCCACCCAGTTTGTTTTGAATTACCATGGACACCCGCGTTTCCATGTTCTAAACTGTTCCATACTCCAGTCCTTCTTTACAGAGGAAAAAACACAAGCAGGCTTCTCACGCTGGCATTATGAGAGCAGATACGGAATACAAAACGCATTCTCTGTTTGAGTGAAAAGTTCAGAAGGTACACTCATAAAAAAGTGCAGTGGTTCTTTAGCAGATCTGGAAACAGAATACTTTGGAAAAGGACTGATGGCTGAATACTGAATACACTGCTCTAAACACATTCAGTACTTATTTCTTTACAATACATAACAAAGTCAAGTATTCAGGACACATTTAGAATAATCTTAGTGAGGCACATGGCAAAAACGGTGCTGCTATCACTTTTACTTAAAGGGAAAATTATGCTACGTCCTCTGATTTTCTGCATAAGTAATTCTTTAAGATGTAAACAAAGTTATTCAGAGTGTTTCAATATGAAATGATCCATTCTACAGAAACTTGCCGAATCAAAATTGTTCACAGTGGTGGTGATAGGAACCAGACGTCTGAAGAGTATAATGTCTCAAAAAACTCCTAATCACAGAAAGTGATTATGTATGTGCTGCCTGACTCCTGAGACATTTTTAATAGTTCTGAGATAATTTTGTAATCAATTCATTCTAAAATCAATTCATTGCACAGAGCCACACACAGGGCTTTGTAAGGCAAAATAGTCCCCCAAGACTACAAGACCCCAAGACAACATATATCAAATTTACCACTATTTTACCATCATCAGTATAACAAATAAAAATCAGAAGGTTCACTGGTCATTATGAGTAGCACATGAAATGGCAATAAGTGAAGGGTGTTATTGCAAAATGCATCATAGGCCTCAGAATTAGCTTTTTTCCATAATATATGTTGTTGGGAGTGGGCTTTGCACATGTACAAAATATAAATGCTGTGTAATAATTAATAACACCTTTTTAGAGAAATCAAAACTTTCCATTACACATCAGCTGTTATTCCCTTCAAAAACTCATTATATCCAAAATTGTTATTGTTATGTAAATTAATATATAGCATTTTGGAATGAAACAATTTGTGTTGTAGATATTGTGACCCCTGGTTCCTATCACTGCCACTGTAAAGAAATCTGACTCTACTCTAGAATGCAGCATTTCACATCAGGCCACTCAGATTGACACCATACATGCTGAAAATGTGTGCTAAACTCACCTTATTAGAAAATAAAATAAATCATTAAATACTTAACCAAAAGAATTTGCCCTTTACCAGTTACAAAGTTTAGCAAACCTGACTATAAATTGAAGTGATTTGCAGTTCAGATAAATAACTGGTAAATAACTGGCTCATTGTGTTGATTTATCAGTCTACTCAGGCTTTAGCAGGAACTTCATTTATAAATATTTATAAAAAAAGCTGATTGTTTAGTTCCTCTTTAGAGTCCATCTAATGAACATGTGTGCAGCACACTGTGCACTGACTTGAAATAAGCATGGTAGTGTTTCTTTTAAATATTGTATACTTTTTAGTACTATTTAGTAGGTATTCTAAATGTTTTCTCCTAAAAAGGTAAAAAAGTAACTGTATTCTCCATACTGCCTTTTCAAAACGTAATACGGGCTAAATAAATTGAGAATTTGTCATTCTAATTATACCAGAGTTGCTTCCACAAAGTTATTATATAATATTTGTATTGAATTTATTATTATTATTATTATTATTATTATTATTATGATTACATTTTCATCATAAAAAAAATCTCCATGACGAAGAACCTGGTTAATGATATGGTACAATATACAGTATATGGTACTCTATAGAACCCTTTTTGATATGGTGCAGTTCATGCTCAACAGATCGTGAACATAAGCATCGCACTGTGTCTTTATTAATGTGCACATTTGCTGTGTTCATCTATAAAACATAGAACATAACATATCTATTATTTTAATTGCTTAACTTAATCCACTATAATGTGTACACTTGAGCTTTGTATGAGGAACAGTTCTCGCAAACAATATAAGCCAGTAGGCCCAGTCAAACCAGCAGGTGTGAATCTGTTTCAAATGTAAATGGTGTGCACTCTAGAGGCTCAGTCTAGTGCTCTTCGGTTTAACTGTACGTCCTAAATTTTGCTGTTAGGTACACTGATATGACACTAGGAGGTCATTCTACAACACATCTACATCTAATTATACCTCACTGCAGAACAATGTCCTTTCCCTCTCGTCCCACTTCTGTGTGCCTGAGGGCAGTCTGGGTGTCCAAAGTGTCTCTCTGAAATATTTATAAGAATTCTTGACAAAGATCTGAAACAAAAAAACAAATAACAAACAAATAAATAAATAAAATGCACATGAATGAGTGGATTCTCCAAGGTCAACACCAGCCCAGCACAGGGTGCAAGAGTACCCTAGAGTGGGCCGTATTTGATGTGCAGTAGCCCTTCTTGAACTTAGTAACCAAAACACACACCAACACTGAAAAGAGACGACAAGTGATTAAAAATGGACTCACTGAGCACAATTATGTTGGTAACCTGCAAAGCTCTGTCCATATCTGGAACAAAAGAGCTATAAGGAATTCTAACCTCGAGACAGGAAATTTTGAAGACACTTTAAGTGGACTGATTTCTCCTATGGTACCAGACCTGGACAGCTGCCTGACCGGCTGAGTCAAACTGAGGTGACTCACATATCAAGAGTGACAGGGCAGGTGGGGCAGTGTTTCCATTAGCTGATCATTACCAGAATTTAACCAGAAAATCTCTGCAAGACCAGCAAGTTAAAATCCCAGTTAGTATGTCCGGCAATGTCCAGTAATGTCCAGTAATGTCCAGTATTGTCTGCTAAAATATTAATCTAAAGTGCATGTAAAATCCTGTGATGAAAGAGAAGAGACTGCTATAAGATTAGTCAATCACAGCTAATACTACGTATTTATGACTCCTTCTATCAAAAATACATGTCTGCTGTAATTAATGTAGGACTTATGCTGAAGGAAATGCTGCACTATGTAAAACTGAAAGAAACAGAATTGCTGAATTATGAAAAAAAAAAAAAACATGCTAAAACATGGTGAGTGTGAGCTGTTGTAAGTCGCCCTGTAAAGCCTGAATTAATAGTTTAAAAGTCACAGGCGTCGGGTCAGATTTGGCAGGAGTTTTTTTGGTCAGGTGATGCATCTTTACGTGTTAACATCACGCACACATCCTCAAAAAAAAGGTCCAGCTTGATGTTCAGATCTCAAATGAAAGGTCAACATTATACTAATGAAGATATGATGACAGTAGCAGACATTTCACTCACATCCTCAGAGGACACAACCTTCACCAAGTTTTCTTTGGTGTTCTCTTTGAATACTGTTTCAGCGCAATTACAATCATCAGATTCATCCGCCTGAAGAAGGGGTCCGATGCACATTCACACATTGCATGCAATTATGCATTTCACCACAGAGCTCTCCAAATCCCCCAAACTTACATAGTGTAGCATTAAATGTAACTAATAGCGAGGCTAGTGATAGTCACGTTAAGTTAGCTTCAATACACTTGTATAAACACTTAAAAGCTATGCTCTAAAGTCCACATACACTTAAACTATGACGCACTGATCATGTTTATACTAATCTGAGGGTTAATGCATTTGTTCAATATCTATTAATGAGAAAACACAGAAATGTGGACTGATAAATGCTCTACTTCTCCTATGTGATGCTGTTGGGGAACAGTTCAGGTTTGCTACCTTGAGCTGTGTAATTTCATCAGAGAAGAGAAAAGCTTAAGCGTATGGCAAGGCACTTTTTATGCACTACTGTATTAAATCACTTATTGTAACAACCAAATTTTTATCATCTGTTATTACTCCAGCTCTATGTGTGTTTCAGCATTAAATCAGAGCTGATTTATGAGGAGCCCAGCCTCTTCCTATTTTCCCCATTATATCAAAAACAGGACTGCAAAACACCAGAGGGCGCTCACGAGCTAGTCCTCAATGAATCAGGGTGAATGGAGCTAAATGGCTAAGACGAAAAGTGAAAATAGTTTCTGATCACTTGCCCAGAACTTGCCTTTAATTTTAGAAATTAGAAGGATGCATTTCACTAAAAAAAAACAAATAAAACTTACCTAAATGTTTCCTTTTTTCCCACAGCAAACAGGTTTTAGGCAGCAGGGCACTAGCGTTACTACTACTGAGTGCTGATTGTTTAGCGAGCGGAGCAGCTCATTGGCTGTCCGCTGACTGACATCATGAACATACATGAAACTTCTACAACTTCTCAACAGCTCTTAAAAATATAACATCACTGTCAAAATGTTTTATTCTGTTCTGTGTTTAGGAAATGAATGTATTCTTTTCATATTAAAAATATAAAAGCCTTTATAAACTATAATCAGAGAACTTCTAGAGAGGAGAATTGCCACTTCTGGGTTTCTTAAACACTAGAGGGCGCTCCCAAGCGAGTCCAAAATGAAAAGGTTAAGACTGAGCATTTGAGCAAAATCACAGTTTATAAATGCTTAAACATTTTTAATGTTAAAGAATACATTCATTACACAGTACAGCATAAAACAGTTTAATACGCCACTTGTGTTTTTTTTTGTGTGTGTTTATTTTTGAGAGCTTTTGAACTCCTCATGCACTTTCATGACGTCAGTCAGCACTACAGCCAATAAGCTGCTCTGCTCGCCAACCAATCAGCACTAACTCTTGCCGCCCAAAACGGGTAGAGAAAAGGAAACATTAGGGTTTTTTTTGCTTCTTTAGTGAAATACAAACTTCTACTTTTCAAGATTAAAGGAAAGTTCTGAGCAAGTGATTAGAAACTAATCTAATCTAATTAACTTTTCGTATTTTAGCCATTTATCTCCATTCATCCCCATTCACTGAAGACGCGCTCGCGGGCGCCCTCTGCTGTTTTGCAGTCCTCTGCTATAATTTTGCTCAAATGCTCCGTCTTAACCTTCTCATTTTGGACTCACTCGGCAGCGCCCTCTAGCGTTTGAGAGACTTTACAGAGTGGTATTTCTCCTCTTTACAAGTTCTCTGCAGACGCTTGTTTGTGCGAGCGTTAGAGAAAATGAGGGGGTGAATAACTGAGACCGAGTGTTATGAGGGATTGAGGGGATTTTTGGTGCTGATATTTTATTTTATTTACTTTTATTCTCAGTTTAATTCTTTTGTCTTCTCGGATCTTATAAACGGAGGTTCTCTTTCAGCAAGTTTAAACAAAGGCCTGAATGAGTGAATGAATAAATGAATGAATGAATGAATGAATGAGGGAGGGAGGGAGGGAGCTGCACGCGCTGCTGCGCATCTAAATCTCCAAACAGAGAGGAAAGAAAGCGCGTTTGTGGAGCGCTCAGCTTCAGGCTTTGCCTTTTACTGTGCGGAGTAAAAGCTCCACACAGTCACGCACGAGCTGGAGAGCGAGAGCAGCTCGCGCAGCAGCGTCGCCGTCTCTTCCGAACTGATCTGAGGCACAATGTCGGCAGTTTGCGCGCGCACAACGGAGGCTGTTTCCCTGCTAAAGCATGAGGACTAACGCGCTGAGCTTTTTCCTCGCGCTCCTCCTGCGCGCCTCCCTCTGCACGCCTTCCCCGAGAGCGAGCCGGACGGAGAGCACGAGCTGTTCATCCTCGAGCTTCTCGACGCTGGACAGCTCTCGCGTCTCCACAGTGCGCGCGCAGAAGCAAGGAGGTACGACCTTGCGCGCGAGATTCCCGGCCGGATTTGGCGCAGCAGTGGCGCGCCGGTGGTCCGAGTGGCGGGAGCGCGCAGGGAAGGCGCGAGTGGTCAGGCTGGAAGCGGGCTGCGGCAGGACCACCAATCGCCTGGCCACTCTCGAGGACGGCAGCAGAGCGTGCGTGCGCTATGGTGTGGACCAGGACCAGGTGCTGGGGGAGACCCTTTGCTACTATCTGGCCACAATGCTTGGAATCCCAAATGTGCCTCCGCTGGTGCTGACCAAGCCAGACCCTTTTGGTCAGCAGTGGTCAGCTGCTAGAGACAGTATAGAAGCCCTGAATTGGTCATCGGATGCTATTGTGTCCCTCACGCAGTGGGTGCCCAATGCCACCCGAGTGTCCATCCCAGTTCAGTTCCTGAGGAGATTGGGGAAGGGTGTGCTTCCTGCACCTTTGACTATGGATAATATGACCTCAAGTGACCTGAGGGAGTTCAAGCAATGGACTGACCTCATCCTATTTGATTATTTGACAGCAAATTTTGACAGAGTCGCCAGCCACCTGTTCAATCTGCAATGGGACAGGCGTGCCATGGACAGGCCGACCAATAACCTGCTTAGGACAACCAAGGGAGACTTGGTGTTCATTGATAATGAGGCTGGCCTTGTCCACGGCTACAGGGTGCTTGACCGCTGGGAGTATCTCCACCAAACGCTCCTCGACTCCACCTGCATGTTTCGGGAGAGCACCGTCCAGCGCCTAACAGAGCTGAAGCGCTGCAGGAGTGCGGCCCAGCGTCTGCGTCAGGTGTACCAAACCAGGGAACCACTTGCTCTGGAATTAGGATTTCTGTCCGAGGCTCAAATGGTAACTTTGCAGAACAGAGTGGACGCACTGTATAGACATTTTCAACAGTGCGCCAGAGTGGCTTAAACATTTCTGTGAGGCTGTTGGGGCGGCACGGTGGCGCAGTGGGTAGCGCTGTCGCCTCACAGCAAGAAGGGTCTGGGTTTGGTTCCCTGCCGGGTGACCAGGGTCCTCTCTGCTCTGTTGCATGTTCTCCCTGTGTCTGTATGGGTTTCCTCCGGGTGCTCCAGTTCCTCCTACAGTCCAAAGACATGCAGTCTGGCCAATTGGACATGCTAAATTGCCCCTAGGTGTGAGTGTGTAAGTGATTATATATGTCTGTCCTGTGATGGACTGGTGGCCTGTCCAGGGTGTATCCGGCCTTCTGCCCAATGACTGCTGGGATAGGCTTCAGCACTCCCTGTGACCCAGAAGGATTAGCAGTTTCAGAAAGTGTGTGTGTTTATGTTTGTAAATGCTCAGAAAACATAAAAGTGCCAGTAAACCTGCAGCTTTTGCTGGGAGTTAAATGTTTTCTTGATATTCTGAGTGAAAATAAGTTAACAAATCCTCTGCAGAGAACACACATACCGTATTTTACTGTGTAACGCCATATTTTACCGTATAATGCATGGCACAGTACGGCAATACACAGAAAAAAATGTTTTAATTTAAAAGTGTTTGAGCTGCCTCAAAATTGTGAGGTAATTTAATTTTGCATAGTAAGTTAACAGAACAAGAATCTGTTTTATGCCTTTATTATCTGAGGTTAAATAATGCAGCCTAAACCCCCAATTTTTTTACAGTATACACATTTTAAAAAGATGGTTCTCCAAGGGTTCTTTAGTAAAGAAAATGGCTCTACATAGAACCATGAACACTCAAGGAACCCATTGCATGATTAAAGGGTTCTATATAGATGGTTATAGATGGCTATAGATGGTTCTATGTAGAACCTTTTTGAACATGGTTCAATATAGCACCCAAAAGGGTTCTTCCATTGTTGTTAATGTTAGAAGAACCCTTTTGGGTGCTATATAGAACCCTTTTCATAAATGTTGTATATAGAACCATCTACAACACATTCTTGCACATTTTCCATCAAGGTGAAGAACCATTTCATGATGCAAAGAATGCTTTAATCATGCAAAGCGTTCATGGTTCAAAATAGATCCATTTTCTTTACTAAAGAACCCTAGAAGAGCCATCTTTTTAAGACTGTACAGTTTCTATTTATATGCTGAGTTTAACATGTCAGATATAAATGAACCATAAAATATTAAATGTGCCATAACTTTTGCACAGTATACATTTTGTTACATTTTTTATTTTTTTTTGCAACATGTTAAATTCAGTATATAAATAGTAGCTGTGTATTAAAATGTGTAGAACTGTGTTCTCTGGTCTCTGTAAAGAATGTGTTAACTTACTTTCAATTAGAAAATCAATAATACATGCAGTGGTGTCCAGACTTTTGCGTACAACTGTCAGATTATCACACGACTAACCAAACTGTAAAGAACATTTTGAAGTAGTTGACTGACCAAAGGTGGAGAGTAACTCAGTAGCTAATTCCATTCATTCAGGATTTTTTTATAGATTTGTTCTAGTGTTGTGAAACAGTAATGCTCTTATTTGTGCTGAAATGCATCAGTAGGGAAAGTCATGTATTTTACACTTGGTACCGTTTTAGTTCTAGATATCAGGTTCTTACCTTTTTTTTGCAATTGATCTCAATGTGTACTGTTGGTTCAGCTCCTGAACTGCTTTGCTGTCACTCATGCATTTGACTTTTTGAGGTTTAGCATTTTATTTCACACAAAAATAATCAAATAAAGTAAAGAATAGAACCTAACAAGCTTTGGTTTGTAGTTATTTGAGTTATTTCGTCTTCACCTTGTTTCAATCTCAAAGCACTTAGCACAAGTGAACTTTATTAGATGAGCCCTGGGAGTGGAAAGTGAACACAAGTGTCGACTTTGGCCGCAGAGCTCACAGAATCATTGTGATCTGTCTCACTTTTCTGTTCAAAGCCCCCCAAAAAGGCAGATAAATCTGTTTATAATCCACAGAGCTAAAATGCTTTAAAATACTTACTATTTGAAAATCATAACATCTAGTTTATGTTCAGACTGGATATAAAGTAGCACACTACTCCATCTGTAATACTGACAGTGTTGAGTTTAAATAGTAGACTTCCTTTCTTGCAATCTCATTTCAGAGCACAGGAGTGTTAGCTTGCAGCTTGTATGCAGCATTATTCATATTCTGACTGCTAAATAGTTTTGTATTTTTTTAAGGGCCCAACCTCCGGCCGCCAGCAGAGGGCGACGGCGGTGAGGTGCCATAAGTTCAGGGAACTCCAATTCCCAGAAGCCTTCGGGCTGATTAGGCCCAACCTGGCACACCTGTGGGCTCCTCTACTTAAGGCTGTGGCAAACAGCAGCCCTTCGTCACACCTTTGTAGAGGGGTGACAGGTATGGTACTTAGTCTAGGTGGGTATTTAAACAAAAGAAAAGGAATGAGGGCTGGAAAAAACAACAGAGAGAAATTGCCCCACAACTACTTAAAAACCAAATGAAGGCTTGAGCAACATACGGCTCCAAGCCATATAAAAGGTGTTTGCTCCACTAAGAGCAATCAGGTGAAACATAAAGTCTGCCTACCTCTCATAATTATAGAGGATGTAGTAACTTTTAGTAACTTTTGTTTTCTGATTCTCTTTTATTTCACTTTTCTAGTTCAACCTTTGTTTGAGCACGTTGTTTGCCTTTTTCCTGCCTTTTTATTCCCCATTTGTTGAGATTGTCCCACCTGTGCTTCCCGGTGGTACAGCGGTAACTCCTCAGACTGCCAGTCAGTATATCGGTGGTTTGAGCCTGGCTCTCGGTCACCTCAGCTCCATCTTGCACAATCACCAAATTCACACTCCATTGCCTCAATAAATAAAGACACTTTCTAACAGGTTTTCCTTTCTGCACTTGGGTCTGCCTTCCTGCTGTCTCGGAACAACTTTAGCAAAATGTTGGGAGTGTTTGGAGCAATCCTGGGTGCCCAATCCTGATCCTGGAGACCTACCACCCTGCGGAATTCAGCTCCAACCCTTATCTAACACTCCTGATCCAGGTAATGAAGGCCTTTGGGAGTATTTGACAATTAGAGCCATGTGTGTTGGATCCGAGTTCTCAAGGGTGGTAGATCTCCAGGACCAGGATTGAACAGCCCCTGGTTTGGAGCATTTTAGTACCACAGGGTCCAACAGCAGCGTTTTTCGAAAACACCATGCATTTTTGTCTTGGAGAAAACAAGTTTAAACCTGGAGTTGATAATATGGGTAAGATCCCAATGACAGCATGACACATAACTTTAGATTGCAAGCTAAAGGCTACAAAGCTAGCAATAACAACAAAACAAAGTGGACCACAGGTCAGAACTTATAGCCAAACAAAGCAAAAAAGCTTGCACCACAAAGTTTGATTGGCTAGCTAATTAGCTCACTCAGGCTAACCCAGCTGAGCATGAGTGCATTTCATTGGAATGATCCTCTCCTCACTGCCCCCTCTTCCTATTAGTGCCAGTGGCTTCTTGTGAAATGCTAGAGTGACGCACTTCTGAGTGGTGAAATGAAGCTAGCAAAGGCATGTTTAAATATGTTTAAATGGGGCTCATCTTCTTTTTCTTTGGGGGGAAAAAAAAAAACAAACAGGCCTGTCTTTGGCAGGAAGTTCATAGTTTTTAATGGAGAATCCAACTTGTTTGGACTTCACTGAAGACTTTATTTGAATACAGCTACATAATGAGTTGATGTCATCACAATGTCAATCTCTAGAGTGAGTAGCCCTTATATGCACAGCTTCCATTGGCCTCATGTTAAGTCAATGGATGAAGAACTGTATTAGAATAGATTGCTATGTCCAGTCTTATAAGGCCATGTACTGCCAAAACTGAGTAGACCATATGGGTAGACAACTAAATGTTTTGCACCTCCAAGCCCCCACCTTTCTCAGACCTTTCTCTACAGTGAGGGTTTATGATGTCTGTGCTTATGTTAGAGCTGGACCTACATATGGGCAGTTTGAACATGATATATTTTGAGGAGGCATCTAAAAGCCCCACTCAGGGCTAAGGCCAGTAATAATTCCTTGGAATTCTTAGCTAGAATGAATGCTTTAAATGAATGCTTTCTTTGGATCTCATTAAAATACAATTTAATGCATCATCCTTTACTTAGATTACTCAGATTTACTCAGCCCTCTCCCCAAAAAATGACGGTCCATTTGACTTACTTTGTAAGTGCCTTGAGCACATCACTAACTGGATGGGAGAAAACTTTATGCTCTGCAGTTGAATAAAGAGATTATATTATTCAGGAATAGAAATGAGAGGCACACACTAGCTGCCTGAGTGGATTCAAGATCCCTAAAATCTAAAGAATTAGTATGTAACCTTGGTGTACTAATAGACTCTGATCTCAGTTTTAGCAGTAGAGATTTTCTGATGAAATCCATGCCTTTATCTCTAGCAGGATTGATTATTGCAATGGTCTCTTAACTGGGGAGGCTGCCAGAGTCTCACTAGGAGTGAAAGAAGGGAACACATCACCTCCATTCTTAAATCCTTACACTGATACCAGTCTGGTACAGAATAGATTTTAAGGTACTATTCCTGGTCTATAAATGGCTTGGTGTAGGCCCAGCATATTTAAACAATAGAACACGAGAGGGAGTGTGTTATCACGAAATATGCTTAGCAACGGCATCTCAGCGGATCGATAGTGTTTGTGAAAAAACCATGCTGTTATTGCGAAATAACAGCACAGTTAGAACGCTTCTCAACCAATCAGCTTGCGTGGCTGGAACTAACTGTTGTATAATTATCTGAAAACACAGAAGTGTTTAACTGCTATGCTGCTCTTAAATGGTATCAGTTGACCGACAGCATTAGAAGAGCCCTGACACTGGACACTTAAATCCAGACTCAAAGCATTCTTATTAGAGCAGGTTTTCAGCTGTTAGCTCCACTGCGCTTCTCTCCTGTTACAGCACTTTACTGTCCTAATTAAATTTTTAATTAGATTTTTAACTTA